CATGTTACAGGGTTTATGTGGAAGGAAAAAAATTCTCCTTTCTTTATTTTCAGAAAATAGATATACTCTTTGTGATAGAAGAAGTCTGCAGTTTATCTGTTCCACTAAGACACTCTGGTACACATCTTCCTCTCCTTCACAATTTCTGCCGTTCTTCTCTTTGTGTGACCAGCTGTCTCTGTTGCAGAAGGACCTTGTTTATTGAAGGCTTTTATAAACTGTGTCTACTTGCTGAAAGAAACTCAAGGAAGTGTGAATATGTGAGAGGAAAAACAATATTGAACAATCTCACCTTTTTACGATTAATGTTTTTTGTGTAAAACTGGAGAGAACTGGATATAATGGTCCTTATTCAAGATTATTCAACCAGTTTTTTAGGAAATTAATCCCCGAATGTTCCTCCGTTCTGGACTCCTTAATGCAAACTGATCAGAAACATCTTGAACCTGATCCAACATAATACAAACCCTCCTTCCTTTCCTCCGTCTAACTGCTCCTTTGTGCTGGCAGCCATAAAACTGTCCGATGCTTCTGCAGTTTTACTGAAGCAAAGCGTCTGCTGCGTCTTTCTCTAAAACCCTGGATTGTTATCAGGACCAAACAGCCTTTGTACTGTTTTTGTTTTCGTAAATGCAAACTCCCCTTTGCCCTTAATCTGATGTAGCAGGTGTGAAAAGACTGCACCTTGTCTCTTCTATACATTCACATTTGTCTCAAACAGGTTTGGATATTTTCTGCTACAACTGGCCCTGTTTCATGACACGTGTCTTTGTATGCATCACAGTGTGAGTGTGTAGGAGGCTGCAGGCTGGGGAGAGTGTATATTAAGTGTGCTGTGTTATACTCGTGTGTAGGGTTCAGGGTCATACGGTTGCATTGGCACAGTGTATGTTATCTGGTATTATAAAGTGTGCATATGGAAATCAATATTTCCTGTGTGCGAGTGCGTAGGCTGTGTGTTAAATTAGACACTGTGTTGCTGGTTAGCAGCGTTGTGTGTTTAGAAAAGCTTAAAGAGGCCCTTATAATCTTTTTGGGGTTTCATTTTTCCTGTAGTGTGTTATATAGGTTTTAGTGCATGTAAATGGTCTACAAAAGCTAAAATCCCTGTGTTCTTTCCAGAGGGACTTTCTCTCCCACACACATATGTCCTCTTTAAAGGTCACCTATTATGCAAAATCCACTTATCACGTGTCTTCTACATCAACATGTGTCCCCTCTGTGGAAAGAGACTCTGAAAGTTTCAGGAACAAAGATTCTCTCTCTTTTTGTCCTGATCCATTTATATAAAAACCTGTCTGAAAATGAGCTGATCAGATTTTGGCCACTTTATGATGTCGTAACGTTTTTTTGGCATGTGTAACCATTAGCCAATCACCAACCAAGGTAACCCCCCCCCCCCCACCTTATCACCTGAATCTCCTCCTAGAGCACCATTGTGTTCTTTTTAACCTGTTAAGCCCTGAGTCTGTTTTTCAGGTCTCAGGCTCGAAAATGACATTCCCAGAACAAATGACCATACTTCTAAAAGGGGTAAATTAATAATATTTTTTCTCAAAGCAAGGTTACATCTGTGAGTTGGATGTAGAAGTGTCAGAATCAATATAGATGTTTTTATTTTAAAGTAAATTCAGATTGAACATAGTAAACCATTTTTTATTATAGTGTCCGTCCAAAAGAAAAATAATTACTTACTTATTACTATAACATATAATAAGTACCCTGTATCAGGATTGATGCAAAACAAGTGAAGTTTGACCTTTTTAGAGAGATTTTGGGTGCATTTTCCATATCTCTGGCCCCCCCCTTCGATTTTGATGATTGACAACTCTTTTTAACCGTTAGAGCCAATAGAATCGAGGGGAAGTTCCTAAAACCCATCTAAACATTACCCATTGGTGAATGAGTGCTGCGAAGCCAGAATGCCCCGGAACCGGAAGCTGCGATACACTCTGGTGGCTATCATTAGCAGCTAATATAAAATCTCAGATTTTTACATAAAAATGGAATTATGGATTATCAATAATTTGTTCTAAGTGACAGACACATTGGATTAACCTATGGATCATTAACCTATGAACCTTCAGCCGCGTTGTTATCGTTTTAATGCCATTGAACACGACTTTTGATCAGAATAACAGCTAAGGTGAGACGATCTCCCGTGTTTGCTCCGTAATGCTACGTGTTGTGATGTCTGTGTTTGCTTCCCCTGTCGCGAGTTCTGATCGCTCAGTGATGATACTAATAACTATATAATCTGTGGAATCTCAGCTTTAATCTGATATCTGATACCTTGAGTTCTGTGCTAAGTGCGTTAGCATTTTTTCGCTCAGGGGTCATTTAGACGCTTCTTATGAGACTTGTGTTTTGTTTTGGTAAAAATGGTTCGTATTGTCAGTTAGCTGAGTTTCTTCCCGTTAAGTGGGTATGACACATTCATAGGTTTTTAAATATTAAGAAGCCCTGAGACACAGTTTCGTGAAAAAAAAAACCTGCAGCCCCCTCTACTGGGGGCTCTCGGGCTGTAACCAAATATCTCTCAGAGGGGCGTGGGGAGTGTCTCCTTATTTTCATCTAAAGTAACAGACAGAGAATCAGCACTTTGGAAACAGGGCTGAAACAGAGGGGATTATGGGATACTGCAATGGTCTGTTTGGTGTTTCAGCCGATCAGAGACAGGTTCTGTATATATCTGAGACCTATAATTTATTGATGAAAAACAGTATGATAGGGGACCTTTAAGTCATTAAGCACATACTCTCTCTCTTGAACATTATTTCCTGGACTCTTCATCCACTGAACTGCCAATTTCTGATTTTATATTCAAAGACAGAAACACTGTTCTCTATCTGTTTGTCTTTTCCAACAGTATTGTTCCAATGCTCAGTTATTTCATCTCGCCCACTCTCCTTCTTCCTCTGTTATAATTAGTTGTGTTTGTAAACAAAAATAAATCTGAATCCAACCTGGGTATTTATAGAGACACTATATCCCGGTAAATATGTGGACACGGTATATTATGTTTTTGGATGTTTCAGCATTAAATTATATTTTATATATATTGCTTTTGACCCCAACACCAAGTAACACCAGGGCCAGAATCAATACTAATCTTGAAATAATAAAAAAAGTTGGTTGTGTCGTTTATTATAATTAAATGCACCGTTACTATTTTTAAAATGTTATAATACTTTCTTGTCAGATCAACTCTAAAACATGTCTTGCATTACAGCAGCTGCAGTTCAACAAGGAAATATATATACATTTAATACAAGATACACAGACTTGTTTTAACATATTCAAATCACAGAAAACACTTTGTTCAAGTCCCTTTAATGTACTTTTGATCTGGGATTTAACGCTGTATTCAATTTAAGGATTGACTGGTATAGAAAGCAGTTGAACCGTTGGACACCGTGTCTCAGAAGTGATGAAAATAATTCATATTTGTCAATACATGTTCAGAGACCATGTATTGTATTACATGTTACTGTAAATCACTCCAGAGCAAGTTAAAGTAAGAGATAGTCTCAAAAGTAAATGTTTATTGTGTGAATTCCCTGAACCAAAGAGTGCATCTGTCGCGGTACAGAACTACTCCTGTGTTACAGATGCTATTGACTGCAGATACCACTGTATCAGTTTCTCCTCCCACTCCCCCTGCACAGATTGAAAACCCTTTTCTCCCAGTTTGGAGTGGAAGCAGCTCGCGTCCTGCAGAGCTCTGACCTCACACCAACGCCGACTGCAGGCCGCGCTTTATCGCATCAAATCAGTGCCAAATAATAAGCGGTAAATCTGGCCGAGAATAAATCCCTGCAGCCAGCTTCCTAAATCTGAACCAGAGAGTCTGCAACCAGGAGAGAGGAGCTGCAGACGGTCAGGAAATTAAAATACGTGTAGTGTCATAATGCACAAGTGGCCTCATTTGACCCTAAGGCTCTGGAACACTCTGCCCCTCCATGTGAGGTCGGCCCAGACCCTAGGGGTTTTTAAATCAAAACTAAAAACACACTTCTTCTCTCTGGCTTTCTAGTTAGAGCGGAGCACGACTCCTGACTTTTCCGTGTGTTTTATTTTTATTTTGTTTTTTAAGATATATCTGTTGTAATTTATTGTCGTTTATTGTGATTTGTAGTAATGTGTTTTTATTACATGTACAGCACTTTGGCTCGACCAAAAATCGCTTTTAAATGTGCTATATAAATAAAACCTGATTTGATTTGATTTGATGTGTGTTTGCACCCCCTATTTTTCCCATTTCTCCCTCCAGCTCTTCATCTTCTCTCCTCTTCCATTCCCTCTTTTGAATTTTTTTATTTGTTCTTTATCTTCCTTTTTGAAAGTGCGCTTTGTGGTCTGTGTGCTTTTTAAAGTCTGCCCATCTGTCTGTCAGTTATGAATAATCCAAAAGTTAATTTAGAAAACGCAATGTTCGTCTCTTCTCAGAAGAAACATCGTTTTACGTGGGATAAAATATTCTGTGAAGCTTGAACATGTCTTGTTTTTGTTGTTCCCTTCAGAAATGTGACAGGATTAGTCATGTGTTCAACAGGTTTAAAAACTAGAACATGTTCATATTTGGATGACTGGTTGTTCAAAGTGACACAAGCATTGTTTTCTGTCAATCCCAGCTCTTGGCATCAGCTCAGAGGATGCTTCAGACATTACCCATGTTGTGCTTAAGTGTTTTTAATTTGAATTATTTATCATTGAAACATTAAATCCCTAAATTAAATCATGAGAAAATTGAGAGTCTTCTCCCACACTCTTCTTTTCTTCTCCCTGCTCTTCCTCTCTTATCCCTCCCCCATCTGTGGGAAGCTGTGATTGTGCGCATGTCGCCGATGAGTCAATTTGTGGAGGCAGCGCACACACACACACACACACACACACACACACACACACACGTATCCTGTCTCCCACGAAGGCATCTGTTTCAGTCTGTCTCTCTGTGAGATGCAGCACCAACAGAGGAGAGAGGGGGAGACAAGAGGAGGGAGGGAGGGATAAGAAAGGAGAGAGGAGGGAGACAGATCAGAGAGGAAGAGGACAGAGGAAGGACTGAGATTTAAAGAAAAGAGTGAAGAGACAGGACACAATCTAGAGAGGAAGAGGATGCTGCTGCAGCTTCTGAGGAGTTTGGACTCGGACATGACAGAGATGCAGCATCCAAGAGTGTGAGCAGCTTCCAGTCTCTGTGTGTGTGTGTGTTGGTGTGTGTGAAGCCATGGCGAGTGCTCAGCCGGGGGTCCATGCTCTGAAACTCCAGCCTCCCTCCGTCTCCGCCACGCTGAGGAACGGGAGCAACTTCATAAAATGGGACGAGGTAAGGACAATTTACTGAAGTACTTCATGCAACAACAAAAAAAGCACAATATCTTCATCGTGTTCTGCTTCATAATTTACATTTCTTGAGGTTATTTCATATTTTTAATGCTGCATATATTTGGGAGTATTGTGGTTTTGATTCCCACTGGAATTATACCCAGTGAATGTTAGTGTGATGAGAGAAAAAGGGAGGAAGAGGAGGTGTTGTCAGATGTGTTTACTATACGTTGTTGATTGAGCTTTGGCAGTAAGTACCTGTGGATTTAACACCAGCAAGAATGGTGTGTGTGTGTGTTTGAGTTTGTGCGAGAGAGAGAGAGAGAAGCGCTATCTTGGTCCATTTCTTTATTGCCACCTGTTGGCATGGAATCAATTAGTGTGCACTTAAAGTGTGTGTGTGTTTGTGAGTGTGTGTGTGTGTGCATTTAAATATGTATAAGGCACACACATGCAGAACCCCTCAATTGCTGTCACGTGCATTGTCAAAAACACAATTGTCGGTGTGAGTGTGTGTGTGTGTTTGTGTTGCGTGTTGGTATGCTGAAGTACGGAGCTCTGACAATGAAAAAACGTGCTGTCCGGTTACCATGGTAACTGGCATGGCTACCGCCACCTAAACAGTGTGTGTGTGTGTGTGTGTCAATGCATTGATCCATGTTATATCATGAATCATACTTACGGAAGAGCTAATTCAATACACTTGACTCTATTCACCAAGTGTGTGTGTGTGTGTGTGTGTGTGTGTGTGTGTGGTGTGTGTGTGTGTGTGTGTGTGTGTGTGTGTGTGTGTGTGTGTGTGTGTGTGTGTGTGTGTGTGTGTGTGTGTGTGTGTGTAGAGCTGTGTTTTTATGAAAAATTGAATTGGTTGCCATGCCAACGAGTGATAACCAGGGATCTAGTTAACGATCTTCTGAGTTTTTTTTTGTAGTTTTTATTCTTTTGAACGCAGGCTGCAGTATTTATGAGGAAAGCAAAGAAACACACACAACGTCTCGAGCTCTGATTTCTACACAAACATCTCAGCCGGCTGTTTCCCCAAAAGACACGCTGCATAAAGCCGATCACCAAATGTTCAATTGTTGGTGCTTTCTACAGTCTGTACATCTATTTCCAATTGAGGGATAATACAAAAGATAATTTAGAAAACTCAATATCCTTCAGTAGAAACATCACGTCACCTGGGGTCAGATAGAAAGCTAAAACCTCAGCTGGTTAAATGACAGTTTCCCCTCTCGAAATATGGCAGCATTGTTTATTTGTTTCAACGACATAAACAAATGAAAACCTTTAAATATTCAGTGCCAAAATAGGGAATAGAGTCTTAGAGAAAATAAAGGTGCGGAGATCCAAAGATTATAGCTTACCCTGAATTTGATTTGTTTGCAAGCTTAAAGGTGGGGTATGTAATTTATTTGAGAAACACTTGTTGTTATATTCCATGGAATGCTCTTAACATCCCGATAGCAATGAATATCTTAAATGCTTTGACAATAAATACATAAAAAATATCATCTGTGGAAGCCGTAATACTGTGAAAAGCACGACCAATCATTTTAGCCGGCCCGGCTAAAACAACTGGATGGCCTACCTGCCTGTCAGCCTTCCATCTCGTGCACAAACTTATCTCGTGCCCTCATTGGTCATGTGCGCGTTCGTGTGTGTTGGAGGAGGGGCTCTGTAAGGAAGTCTGAAGGAAGTGGCAGATTTTCTCCGGTTGTGTATTTTCAAATTCTAGCGCACTCGAGCTGGTTTCTCCAAAATGACATACCCTACCTTTAAATACATTATGTATAGGGTTACAACTAATGAGTGTTTCATTATTGATAAATCTTACAAATATGTTCTAGATTAATTGATTAACTCATTTAAATACAAAGTCAGAAAACTGTGAAAAAACATTCTTCGATAATGTTTAAAAAAACGTCTTATTTTGTCCGTCTGAACCCAAGGACATTCAGTTATTTCAATATTTGAGAATTGTAAGGAACATTTTCTCACCGTTTGCAAGAAAATGTATTTTCACGATTCATCATTAGTTTATACGTTTTTTGTATTTTTTTTTTCGATAGTTGCAGCTGTTTAATGCATCTGGCTGCTTTAGCAATATTCTTAAAACAATATTTTTAGGAATAAAACACTTTAAACACTTTGTGTGTAACGGTATGTCTTCACTGTCTACAAAGTAACTGATATTGAATAAAGAGTTTTTATCACTGCACTAATAATCCATATTATCTGCTCCTTCATATAAACTGGACGGGCTAAGTGCACCTGGAGCCGATCACAAACTGTCATGGTGTGTTACTACGGCAACAGGGACAATTATTGGATGTCATGACAACTCAACTTAGTCAGTTAGAGTTGGTGTCCCGAAAATCACTCAGTGTTCCCGGTTTAATAAGCACATTTTAGGGTTGAACCTGCGGTGAATCATCACTGACGGGTGTGATGTTGCATAATGGTCATTTCACATTTCCTTCCAAAATGATAAAATCACCAGTGCTGAAATAGGGATTAGAGCATAATGTGGTATTTTCTATGGCCACTAATGGGTGCCTTTGATATATTTGTCGGATTTCTTTGTATTTCTTTTCTATTTGTTGTTTTTTATCAATGGTTTTTCATTCTTTCTCTACAGGATCTGTCCACTGTGCATCCAGTGACGCTTCACGTGGATCCTCATGGATTTTATCTCTACTGGACAGACCAAAATAAGGTTGAACACACACACACACATACACACACACACACACACACACACACACACACACACACACACACACACACACACACGTGCACTGTCTTGAATAGCCTCTAAAAGTAGGCCGAGAATGTGAACAAGCAGGATGATTAGGAGCACTTTTAGTTCATTGATTGAGTCCAAATTTGACTCCATGTCTGAGCGGTCAATGTGTGCACTTTGCTCTGAGTCAAACACTAATTACATGTTTGTTCAAATATACCTCTTACTTCCAATCCACTCTTTTTTCCTGAAATTGACTGACACCTTTAGAGTGCCGGTTGTTTGCACAAATTGCTGAAACGGAGATAAAAGCTAAGTAAAGAAATAGCAGCTAATAGCAACCGAAACAACAATGGCTGCTCCTGTTGCTTTGTGCAGAGGGTTAAGCTAATGCTAACTCTGACTGTTGTGGAGTGTGTGGGGGGTAGGGGGGGGGGGTGCTATACATAATGTTTTACAAATAGCAGAAGCACATTGACAGCACGTGAGGATTGATTTACACACACACACACACACGCACGCACACACACACGCACGCACACACACGCACACACACACACACCTTCTGTCCAGGTGGGCCTAAGTCCTTTGCGGGAAACAGGATGTAGCATTTAGCTCCAGCTGATGGTGTGTGTGTGTGTGTGTGTGTGTGTGTGTGTGTGTGTGTGTGTGTGTGTGTGTGTGTGTGTGTGTGTGTGTGTGTGTGTGTGTGTGTGTGTGTGTGTGTGTGTGTGTGTGTGTGTGTGTGTGTGTGTGTGTTCTTCAGGAGACGGAGCTGTTGGACCTAACCTTTGTTAAAGATGTCAGAACAGGGAGGAGCACCAAAACACCAAAGGTAACATCGGATGCTTTAATGAAGTACTTTTATTGTTCGTTAGTATAGTATATAGTATATAGTATATAGTACATGTAGCTTTTCTCTGCAAATATATCCTCTCTGATATGGACGTTGTAGACTTTTACTCTTTACTTTTTATACTATCATGTTGCATTCAAAGCGTTGGTGTCCTGTCATTATGTTCTTTTGTTCTACCTCTATAAAGTATTACAAAATGTTCATATTTCCTTTCTTAGTTACTAATATACTGCAGTTTAAAACAGTCTTTTTTACCTTTAAACACCTGATAATGTACTGATTTCTTAGCTAGTCATCTCCCTCCGGTTACAAACAGCAATGCCAAGCTGTTTTGTTTTGAGTTTTTAAATATACTTTAAATATAAAATTATATTTTTCTGACCCACTTTAAGAGTAACACCTTCTTTAGGAAGAAATTGTCTCTGACTAAATCACTGTTGATGTCACGTACTGATAACTAAAGTCATTTCATATTCAAGTTACTTTAATTTCAAGTTACTTTAAAAAGCTGAATCTTAATAGCAACTTTTTTTAAACTTTAAACAAACAAATGTCAAATACTTAAAAACTCAGTGAAGTTAGGATCATGGTTAATGGTTGTGACATTACATAAGTAACATTTGTATTTCTCCATGTATATTTCCACATATATTTTTTTCCTTTCTTAATGCTATTTTATTTCTACTTCAGAAATATTTTGTACATTGCCTTGTTTTTTATGCTGCTGCAACGCAAACATTTCCCAAATTTGGATCAATAAAGTACTAATCTATCTATCTATCTATCTAAATACAACAAAAATAAATTAAAGTTACAACTATAATACATAAAATAATTTTTTTTTAAAAAGAAGAAGAATTGTGTCTGAAATCGTTTTTTCTGTGTCGTCCAATAGGAGGCCAAGCTGCGGGAGCTGCTGGATATCGGCAATCTGGTTGGCCGACTGGAGAACCGCATGGTCACCGTGGTTACAGCCTCAGACCTGGTGAACGTCAACCAGCTGAACTTCATCGCCTCACAGGAGGACGAGGCAAAGGTGATGATGATGAAGAAGAGGAGGATGATGAAGATGATGATGATGATGAGGATGATGATGATGAGGAGGAGGAGGAGGAGGAGGAGGAGGAGGAGGATTATGATGATGATGAGGATGAGGAAGATGACGGTGACGACGATGATGAGGAGGAGGATGATGATGATGATGATGATGATGATGATGATGATGATGATGATGATGATTATGAGGAAGATGATGTGATGATGATGATGATGATGTGATGATGATGATGATGTGATGATGATGAGGATGATTATGAGGAAGATGATGTGATGATGATGATGATGATGATGATGTGATGATGATGATGATGTGATGATGATGAGGATGTGATGATGAGGAGGAGGAGGAGGAGGAGGAGGAGGATGATGATGATGATGATGATGATGATGATGATGATGATGATGATGAATTGCGTTTCTTTCGGCAGGTGTGGTGTGAGGAACTGTTTTCTCTGTCTTCCAATCTGCTGAGCCACAATCTCAACAGGGACCACAGTCTGTTGAAAGCGTGAGTAAACACACACACACACACACACACACACACGCACACACACACACACACACACACACACACACACACACACACACACACACACACAGAAACCTGCATATCATCTATTTACTTACAGTGTATCCCCCAGTTTAAATTTACAAGTACTTTTTTACTCTCTTTTGTTTCAGGTTCGTCAGGTTGACTCTCCAGCCGAACGCAGAGGGGAGGATTCCCGTGAAGAAGTGAGTCCCTGATTATCCTTATTATTAGCTTCCTGATCTTTAATCAATGGTTGTGTGTTAACTCTGAGGCACATGTGACAGTAGGCGCTGCAGAGGAAGTGAGAAAATAGCCCGGCGAAATCCTTCGAGGCGCGCACAAAACGAAACTTTGCTCTTTCCTGTCCCTTGCTTCCAAAAATAAACTTAATTCCATGTGCACTTGGGGAAAGCAAAAAACAGGGACAGGTTTCATGAAGGTGCTTAATTCAGCTCTGACCTGGTAATCAACCACTGCCGGAGCATGAGACGGATAATACAAGTGAGGAAGGATAGCTGTACTTTAGAAGCAAGGCATGAGCAGAATTAAGGTCAGGTGATAAATACTGGAAGACGATGAAGGAGAGGTATGAGAATGACAAGATGGGGGATGAAGGAGAACGTTGGGGGGGTTTTGAGAATGCAAGGATGCTCATATTGCCAACAGGAATTTGTAAAAGAGGCTCTATTATGCTTTTCAGGGTTTTCAATTTCTAGGTTGTTGTGCATGTAAATAGTCTGCAAAGGCTAAAATCCCAAAGTTCCTGAAACGCCTCCATTGGACTCCTTTGTTTTCTGCCGGGTCATACTGACATCACTATGTAACACTTGCGCTTCTATTGGCTAGCGCTCCAACACATTGTACGTGATAGGCTAAGGGGGCAGGACATCTCTAAGCGGTTGACCAATCACAATAGAGCCGGCCAGCTAACCAATCAGAGCAGACTGGGCTCTGGTTTCAGACAGAGGGTGAAAAGAGGTGCTGCAGCACAGGCAGTATGAGAAAAATAAAGAGTTTTTTGAACATTAAAGCATGGAGACATGTCCCAGTACAGACACTACATACTGATATACACCTGAACATCAGCAGGAGAGGACTCTTTAAAGTAGAGACACTACATACTGATATACACCTGAACATCAGCAGGAGAGTACTCTCTAAAGTAGAGACACTACATACTGATATACACCTGAACATCAGCAGGAGAGGACTCTTTAAAGTAGAGACACTACATACTGATATACACCTGAACATTAGCAGGAGAAGACTCTTTAAAGTAGAGACACCACATACTGATATACACCTGAACATCAGCAGAAGAGGACTCTTTAAAGTAGAGACACTACATACTGATATACACCTGAACATCAGCAGGAGAGGACTCTTTAAAGTAGAGACACTACATACTGATATACACCTGAACATTAGCAGGAGAAGACTCTTTAAAGTAGAGACACTACCTACTGATATACACCTGAACATCAGCAGGAGAGTACTCTTTAAAGTAGAGACACTACATAGTGATATACACCTGAACATCAGCAGGCGAGGACTCTTTAAAGTAGAGACATTACATACTGATATACAGCTGAACATCAGCAAAGAGAGGACTCTTAAGTAGAGGACACTACATCTTAAAGTAGAGACAACTACATACTGATATACACCTGAACATAGCAGGAGAAGACTCCTTTAAAGTAGGACACTACATACTGATATACACCTGAACATCAGCAGGAGAGACTCTTTAAAGTAGAGACACTACATAGTGATAGACAACAACCTGACATCAGCCAGGAATCGCCAGGATGCGAGACTCTTTAAAGTAGAGAAATTACATACTGATATACAGCTGAACATCAGCAAGAGAGGACTCTTTAAAGTAGAGACACTACATACTGATTATACACCCTGAACATCAGCAGGAGAGGACTCTTTAAAGTAGAGACATTACATACTGATATACCACCTGAACATCAGCAGGAGAGTACTCTTTAAGTAGAGGCACTACATACTGATATACACCTGAACATCAGCAGGAGAGTACTCTTTTAAAGTAGAGACACTACATACTGATATACACCTGAACATCAGCAGGAGAGGACTCTTTAAAGTAGAGACACTACATACTGATATACACCTGAACATCAGCAGAAGAGGACCCTTTAAAGTAGAGACACTACATACTGATATACACCTGAACATCAGCAGGAGAGGACTCTTTAAAGTAGAGACACTACATACTGATATACACCTGAACATCAGCAGGCAAGGACTCTTTAAAGTAGAGACATTACATACTGATATACACCTGAACATCAGCAGGAGAGGACTCTTTAAATTAGAGACACTACATACTGATATACACCTGAACATCAGCAGGAGAGGACTCTTTAAAGTAGAGACACTACACACTGATATACACCTGAACATCAGCAGGAGAGGACTCTTTAAAGTAGAGACACTACATACTGATATACACCTGAACATCAGCAGGAGAGGACTCTTTAAAGTAGAGACACTACATACTGATATACACCTGAACATCAGCAGGAGAGGACTCTTTAAAGTAGAGACACTACATACTGATATACACCTGAACATCAGCAGGAGAGTACTCTCTAAAGTAGAGACACTACATACTGATATACACCTGAACATCAGCAGAAGAGGACTCTTTAAAGTAGAGACACTACATACTGATATACACCTGAACATCAGCAGGAGAGGACTCTTTAAAGTAGAGACACTACATACTGATATACACCTGAACATTAGCAGGAGAAGACTCTTTAAAGTAGAGACACTACATACTGATATACACCTGAACATCAGCAGGAGAGTACTCTTTAAAGTAGAGACACTACATAGTGATATACACCTGAACATCAGCAGGCGAGGACTCTTTAAAGTAGAGACATTACATACTGATATACAGCTGAACATCAGCAAGAGAGGACTCTTTAAAGTAGAGACACTACATACTGATATACACCTGAACATCAGCAGGAGAGGACTCTTTAAAGTAGAGACACTACATACTGATATACACCTGAACATCAGCAGGAGAGTACTCTTTAAAGTAGAGACACTACATACTGATATACACCTGAACATCAGCAGGAGAGTACTCTTTAAAGTAGAGACACTACATACTGATATACACCTGAACATCAGCAGGAGAGGACTCTTTAAAGTAGAGACACTACATACTGATATACACCTGAACATCAGCAGAAGAGGACCCTTTAAAGTAGAGACACTACATACTGATATACACCTGAACATCAGCAGGAGAGGACTCTTTAAAGTAGAGACACTACATACTGATATACACCTGAACATTAGCAGGAGAAGACTCTTTAAAGTAGAGACACTACATACTGATATACACCTGAACATCAGCAGGAGAGTACTCTTTAAAGTAGAGACACTACATAGTGATATACACCTGAACATCAGCAGGCGAGGACTCTTTAAAGTAGAGACATTACATACTGATATACAGCTGAACATCAGCAAGAGAGGACTCTTTAAAGTAGAGACACTACATACTGATATACACCTGAACATCAGCAGGAGAGGACTCTTTAAAGTAGAGACATTACATACTGATATACACCTGAACATCAGCAGGAGAGTACTCTTTAAAGTAGAGACACTACATACTGATATACACCTGAACATCAGCAGGAGAGTACTCTTTAAAGTAGAGACACTACATACTGATATACACCTGAACATCAGCAGGAGAGGACTCTTTAAAGTAGAGACACTACATACTGATATACACCTGAACATCAGCAGAAGAGGACCCTTTAAAGTAGAGACACTACATACTGATATACACCTGAACATCAGCAGGAGAGGACTCTTTAAAGTAGAGACACTACATACTGATATACACCTGAACATCAGCAGGCAAGGACTCTTTAAAGTAGAGACATTACATACTGATATACACCTGAACATCAGCAGGAGAGGACTCTTTAAATTAGAGACACTACATACTGATATACACCTGAACATCAGCAGGAGAGGACTCTTTAAAGTAGAGACACTACACACTGATATACACCTGAACATCAGCAGGAGAGGACTCTTTAAAGTAGAGACACTACATACTGATATACACCTGAACATCAGCAGGAGAGGACTCTTTAAAGTAGAGACACTACATACTGATATACACCTGAACATCAGCAGGAGAGGACTCTTTAAAGTAGAGACACTACATACTGATATACACCTGAACATCAGCAGGAGAGTACTCTCTAAAGTAGAGACACTACATACTGATATACACCTGAACATCAGCAGAAGAGGACTCTTTAAAGTAGAGACACTACATACTGATATACACCTGAACATCAGCAGGAGAGGACTCTTTAAAGTAGAGACACTACATACTGATATACACCTGAACATTAGCAGGAGAAGACTCTTTAAAGTAGAGACACTACATACTGATATACACCTGAACATCAGCAGGAGAGTACTCTTTAAAGTAGAGACACTACATAGTGATATACACCTGAACATCAGCAGGCGAGGACTCTTTAAAGTAGAGACATTACATACTGATATACAGCTGAACATCAGCAAGAGAGGACTCTTTAAAGTAGAGACACTACATACTGATATACACCTGAACATCAGCAGGAGAGGACTCTTTAAAGTAGAGACATTACATACTGATATACACCTGAACATCAGCAGGAGAGTACTCTTTAAAGTAGAGACACTACATACTGATATACACCTGAACATCAGCAGGAGAGTACTCTTTAAAGTAGAGACACTACATACTGATATACACCTGAACATCAGCAGGAGAGGACTCTTTAAAGTAGAGACACTACATACTGATATACACCTGAACATCAGCAGAAGAGGACCCTTTAAAGTAGAGACACTACATACTGATATACACCTGAACATCAGCAGGAGAGGACTCTTTAAAGTAGAGACACTACATACTGATATACACCTGAACATCAGCAGGCGAGGACTCTTTAAAGTAGAGACATTACATACTGATATACACCTGAACATCAGCAGGAGAGGACTCTTTAAATTAGAGACACTACATACTGATATACACCTGAACATCAGCAGGAGAGGACTCTTTAAAGTAGAGACACTACACACTGATATACACCTGAACATCAGCAGGAGAGGACTCTTTAAAGTAGAGACACTACATACTGATATACACCTGAACATCAGCAGGAGAGGACTCTTTAAAGTAGAGACACTACATACTGATATACACCTGAACATCAGCAGGAGAGGACTCTTTAAAGTAGAGACACTACATTCTGATATACACCTGAACATCAGCAGGAGAGGACTCTTTAAAGTAGAGACACTACATACTGATATACACCTGAACATCAGCAGGAGAGGACTCTTTAAAGTAGAGACATTACATACTGATATACACCTGAACATCAGCAGGAGAGGACTCTTTAAAGTAGAGACACTACATACTGATATACACCTGAACATCAGCAGGAGAGGACTCTTTAAAGTAGAGACACTACATACTGATATACACCTGAACATCAGCAGGAGAGGACTCTTTAAAGTAGAGACATTACATACTGATATACACCTGAACATCAGCAGGAGAGGACTCTTTAAAGTAGAGACACTACATACTGATATGAACCTGAACATTTGCCTGATACGTCCTCTTTTAAGTCACATTTTAAAAGAGCAACGTTTTTGGGCACGGTAAAGAAAGTTAGCGGAGTGACAGGAGGACATTTAGGGAGTTAGAGGAGTAAATGTGGGGTTGTAACACAGAGATATTTTAAGAAGACAAAACGTAGGTTGTGTTTAAGGCTGAGGTGATAATGTGGTGTTGTCATTGTGTTTTGCAGCATTGTTCGCCTGTTTTCTTCAGACAGAAAGAGAGTAGAGAACTCTCTGGAGAACTGCAAGCTGCCCTACGGACGGGTAAACACTTCAATACGTTTCTTTAATGTTATTTTCAGCAGAAAACTGTGGATACACATAAGTCCCTATGTTTCTTCCTTACCACTTTTCCCTTACCTATGTGTAAAAACATCATGGGTTAAGGAAAGGATGTGAAGGAGATTCCATCAGGACAGGATGGAGGATGTTAATGAATCTGCTTTTGGGAACTATATTATGTAGATGGACTAAAAGTACGTAGATAATTCACCCCAGGTTGTTTCATCAAGTTTTTTAAATCATATGACTTCATTACCAAGGTTTGAATTCAGATTAAAAAAAGGAAAGTGGAAGGAAATAGTTCCTCACCCTCCCCTCCACAAGTATTAACATAAACATGAATCAGGATTAGTTTGATTGTATGAGAATATCTGAATTTATTTTACTTCATATTCAATATACTGTATGAATAACTTGTCAGGCCTACTCCTCTACTTATATCACCATCCAAATGTGTTGAATTAAAAGGAACATCTTAAGAAACACCTCACAACTCAGTAAACACTGTGAAACGTTATTAGATCATTTTAAAGTAATTAGTGTAACGTAGTTGTCCTTTAAGTTTAACATATTGTTGAAAATAAAAATAGCACTATAGCTAAAAATGGCCTAACATGGGTCAGGATCGGTTGTTTCTGTAAATGGCCACTTTGAATGTTGCGCACCAAAGAATTGTGGGACAGCATTAGCTCCTTTCCATTCGTAAAGGATGGTCCAGTGTATCCTACGGTAAAGGAGATGATAAACAAAGTATTGAAGCTCCTTTCCTACCGTCTAGACCAGGGGTGTCAAACTCAAATACACTGTGGGCCAAAATTAAAAAATCGGTACTAGTGGAGGGCCGGACTGGTTCAATGTTTATTGCAAAACTTATTGAAATGAACTTATTGCACATATTAAACCTGGAACTAACAAAGCTTAAATTATTGCCTATATTTTATATATATATATAATCAGCTGCATTCATTTCTTATGGCTCTATCTGCAGCTTTTCCGGAGTCATTTCTTATGATTACATTTTTCCACAGGCCAACAACAGCTTCAACAAAACGATTTCCCTCAAAGAAACACAAACATGCCCTGTTGTCTCAAGAAAGAAAGTGCAGAAGGAAACATCCATTGAAACTCAGTGTGCTGCTCTGTGATGCTAGCTCAAGCCAGATACTTGGCATCTCATCTTGGGTGCAAGTTCATCAATGTTTGGGGTCAGGCTCTGAGCTGAGGAAACCCTCAGGATGGAGTGAAGGTGTGCGTGCAATATACCGGCGGGCCAGATCTAATAGTAATTAGAAATTATCCTGCGGGCCGAAATTAAATCCACCAAGGGCCTGATTTGGCCCCCGGGCCTTGAGTTTGACATGTGTGGTCTAGGTGATTCAAACAGCTCTCATCATGGCTGGCACTCAGGTACTTCTCTCTGAGAGGAAGAGAAAAAATATATTTGACCTCAAGCTCTGTCTCTTTCAAGTCTAGCCTTCTTTTTTCTCCATTTTATATTCTATATATCGAGTTCTTTATCTGATGCTTTGGGTCCAGAATGACTCACAGTGCATGGAGTGGAGAATAAAATATCTGGGTCATCAAGTTTTAAAGCAACCAGTGAAAAGTGGAAAAACTCACTTCACACTGAATCTCACATTTAATATTCCTGTGAAAGCATAGTTTTATAAGAGCAGAAATAAATCAAAGATGGTGAGAAATGTTTGATTATTTTCATGGTTTAAAACATGTTTTTCACAGGAGGGAGAGAGAGGATGAAACACAGTGAAGCTGACACACCGATAGCTCCAGTTCTTGCTAATTAAAAAATGTGCTGATGTTAATGTCCGTGTCCTATATATCTGACAGGGGGACAGCATCAAACTGGAGGACTTCACGCCGGAAATCTACAGGAGCTTTTTGGAGAGCCTGTGTCCTCGTCCTGAGCTCAGCAGCATCTTCAAACTGCAGTACGTTTATATCTCCAAGAGGCCCTACTGTATTATGCCTTTCCTGTAGTGTGTTAAATAGGTTTGTGTGCATGTTAATGGTCTGCAAAGCTTAAAATGTCCCCTTGCCTTAAATACCTCCATTGGACTCCTTTGTTTATATCGTAACATAGTGACATCAATACGTAACATGTAAAAGCTTCTATTGGCTAGCGCTCCAACACATTGTAAGTGTTTGGCTAAGGGGCGGGACATCTCTAAGCGTGTTGACCAATCACAACAGAGCCGGCCAGCTAACCAATCAGAGCAGACTGAGCTCTGGTTTCAGACAGAGGGTGAAAAGAGGTGCTGCAGCACAGGCAGTATGAGAAAACTGAAGAGCTTTTTGAACATGAAAGCATGGAGACATGTCCCAGGAGAGACACTACATACACATTATGAGCCTCAGAATGAGCAGACTATGTCCTCTTTAGATGTACTGATCCACTGACCTCTGAGCAGCTCAAATACGTATTACTGTTACACAAGCTTTCATGCTTTTCAAGTGTGTTGTTATTTGCTTCAGGGTAATTTCTTTGATATGTGAAGGATGATGAATAATGATTCATCTTCTGTCCCACTTGTGCACATACACAGGGATTAAAGAGAGGATGTCTCTGTAACTTTGAAGTGTAAACTACAGTATTAACTCTTATTTCTCTATGTTCAGCAAATGCATATCATTCACTGGGATATATGCAACTATTGAGTCCATAACATGTTTTTAAATAGGCAAATACCTATACCCATAAGGTCCAAGAACTAACTATTCATCCTTCACTTTTACATTTTGTCAGAACAAATCAAAAACACAAAGAGATTAACTTCATTATGATTCAAAATATAACAACTTTGCTCTGTTTCAAACTGAAAACGTCTTCATTAGGGCTGCAATCAACAATTAGATTTATTAGATTAATCTGCACATTCATTTCTAGATAAATCAGTATAAAACATATTTGTATTGTAATAGTATTAAAAAAATGTCCATTGCAGTTTTTCAGCATCCAATATCTTAACATGTGTTTTATTATCAGTCTAAATCATAGGATATTTAGTTAAATAGGATAGAAAACAGATAAAAGAAGGACATCTCCACATTTGAGGGACTGAAAACAGCTTTTTCCACATCTTTTTGCATGAAAAATTACATTAACAGTCAACCTATTATCAAAAATATATATTTGTTTCTGTTGCGCAAGTTATTATACAATTACTGCTTTACTATTTAGAATATTGAAGCTGTTTTGAGGTTCTGTAGTGTAGACATCCCATAATACGCTGTCTGTGTGTGTCCTGCAGAGGGTGGGGTGACAGGACGCTGACTCTGGATCAGATGACCGACTTCATCAACAACAAACAGAGAGACCCCCGCCTCAATGAGATCCTCTACCCCCCCCTCCGGCCTGCACAGACTCACTCTGTGATGGAGAGACACCAGCAGGACCAGGACCAGCTGAAGAAAGGTACACACACCATCTTATTTAGATATCAGACATGTACACACACCATTATATTTAAATATCAGGACATGTGACTGAGTGTTTCTGTCAAGTTTCATAGTAAATACTTACAAATCAAAAACAAAAATATGTCTAAAAGATATTATAACAAGAGGCTATAAAATATTCAAACTGTGTGTGTGTGTGTGTGTGTGTGTGTGTGTGTGTGTGTGTGTGTGTGTGTGTGTGTGTGTGTGTGTGTGTGTGTGTGTGTGTGTGCGTGTGCGTGTGTGTGTGTGTAGGCGTGATCTCCCTGCAGGCCCTCTCCAGTTATCTCTCCAGCGATGAGAACGGGATCATCCCTCCGGAGAAACTGGATCAGTCTGAAGACATGAGCTTCCCCCTGTCACACTACATCATCAACTCCTCACACAACACATACCTGACAGGTACACACACACACACACACACACACACACACACACACACACACACACACACACACACACACACACACACACACACACACACACACACAGTTTTATTTTCAAATATATATATTATTTACAGTGTATTCTTACTCTTATAAATTGTACTCTATATCGTCCTACTGTTGATAGGTATATATAACATGTTGATATTAATTTTTTATAATATTTTATTTTCAATGTATAGGCTATATCTTGTTCACATACTATTGTAACAAAACAATTGATTTGGGATCAGTCAAGTTAATATAATATAATCTTAAAAACAAAAAAAGCCACATTTGGACTTCCTATACATATTCTAGAAGCTATCTTTTTTATATAACAGATACAAAATATATATGTAAGATTCAAAGCAGGTGCCACATCATTGTATATTTAACTCATGTGTAATGCCTATGCTACTGTAACAAAACGACATCTTTATTTGGGATGAATAAAATGAATCTCCTGGTGTGTGTCAGCGGGTCAGCTGGCCGGCAGCTCCTCGGTGGAGATGTACAGGCAGGTTCTGCTGGCCGGGTGCCGCTGCGTGGAGTTAGACGTCTGGAAAGGACGGACGGCGGAGGAGGAACCGGTCATCACACACGGCTTCACCATGACCTCGGAGATACCCTTCAAGGTGTGTGTGTGTGTGTGAGAGATGGTGCAGTATCTCTGTGGTGGATCCTGAAGTTGGCATCACAAGGTCTCCACAAAGAAAACAGTGGGAGAGTCCAAATGACCAATGTTTTCCAACCTCTTTGATTTCCTGGAACAGATCTTCTGTTCTTCCAGAGTTTGTGAACCTGCTTTTCATTTGTATGGTGTTATGGAATATGTACTCAATTTGCATTAGATATGTTCAGAATTGAGTATTTTAAAGGCAAATTGAAAACTTTCCATGTTCTCCTTTACCTAAGTGGCCTGACTTGCACATTTGGTTAGTTTTCGTTTTTTAGGTATACGCTAAAAATGCTCTACGTGTTTTGCTAATTGTGTTGTGTTTTTATTTTTCAGGAAGTGCTTGAAGCGATTGCAGAGTGTGCCTTCAAGACCTCACCTTTCCCCGTCATTCTCTCCTTTGAAAACCACGTGGACTCGTGAGAATCTCATTATTTACTTCTGATTTATCCAAGAGATGGATTCAAATTACCCATGTTAGAGGCCTTTCCCTCACCTGATTCACTGTGCATTTTTCTTTGACTATTGACCTGGACACTCTGGGGTCCTTAGTTGTGGGCTTGAAGTTGTTACGTACCTTGTCACACTAAGGGTTTAGAAGACTGGCAATAAGAATAGCATAAACTAAAATGTTTGTTTGGGTTATGTGTGTGATGTTTTATATCTGATTATTTACTCGTATACTGTCTATTATCGTCATTATTTTTGTTGTATGTGTTTATTTTGGTCTATTTCTATTTTTATTTGTTTTCATTTCTTTTTTACCTGTATTTATATATTTTTTATATTTTATTTCTATGACCATTCACTTATTTTTGTCGTATGTTTGTCTATTCACTGGGGAATACCACCTGGAGGGGGAGGGGGGTGGGATTTGGGGGGTTTGCAACTTTTTGTCATAAATATTGGACATACTGTATTTGTGAAAAACTGAAAAATAAAGTTGTTAAAAAAAAAAAAAAAAGAGATGGATTCAAATGTAAGATTTCTATCCATGTATCTTTCTAACTATGTATCTATCCATCTTATCCTTATGTCACCAACAGTTCGAAGCAGCAGGCTAAAATGGCTGAATACTGTCAATCTATTTTCGGGGATGCGCTGCTGATCGACCCTCTGGACAAATACCCTGTAAGTAACACACACAGGAAGAATGTGGCATAATGCATTTCATTACTCTTGGAAAATCATGTTTTTAGCTAACCACCTGTATGGTTTTGACTAATCATCTGCATTGTGTGTGTGTGTGTGTGTGTGTGTGTGTGTGTGTGTGTGTGTGTGTGTGTGTGTGTGTGTGTGTGTGCGTGTGCGTGTGCGTGTGCATGTGTGTGTGTGTGTGTGTAGCTGGAGGCAGGCGTCCCTCTGCCCAGTCCTCAGGAACTGATGGGAAAAATTCTCGTCAAAAACAAGAAATCCCACAAACCCTCGGCTAACACGGACACCAAACGACTGACGGACCTTGCAGCCAATCTGAGCCACGAATCAGCGTCTCCTAGCAACAACACGGGAGGTAAGAAAGACACAAGACAAAAGGACTCCTTCAGCCTTTAGATCCATCTGAAATCTGCTGCCACACACTCACAGTCTTTGTAGGAAAACACAAAACAGGGTGGAAGGATCCGGGATTTTTCAGAGCTGCAAAATGGTTCAAATGCAAACAAACACATGCATTGATGGAGAGGCGTCAGAGTGAAGGTGCTACTGTTTTCGACGCCAGAGAGGAGTTAGGGGTTCAGTGCCTTGCTCAAAGATACTTTGAAACTGGTGAGCTGGAACCTCTCCAACCACCAGTCCACACAACAAATATTTTGTTTGTTTTTGTCCGCACAGGAATTATTATAATGTTTATTATAATAGAAAATGTTGATTCTTGCAGATAAAACATCTCAAACATTCACACTTGTTGCTGTGGCTGTGAGGGAGTCATCTTTCGATCGTAAGGTTTTGATTCCAGCCCCTGCAGTCAATAATAATAATAACAATACATTTTATTTGTAAAGCAGCTTTCATTGCTAAAAGTAATCCCAAAGTGCTACAAGAGGCGTAATAGAAACACAAGTTCAGTCAAAGGCTTTTTTTAAAAGAACGGTTTTTAGGCCATGTCAAATGATCCTTGGACAAATGCAATATTTCTCTACTTTACTAGAAACAATGAATGAAATAAAAGCGTTTACAATAGTGATGTCAGTTAGATTTGGTTTGCACAAAGAAAAGTTGTGAATAATAAGTTTTTTTATTAGTATCCAAAGCAGGTAATTATCCATATGAGCTAAAAATCTAAATGACGCATTCCTATTATAATTGATCCCTGCCATGTAGTGTCTGGATTATGATTTAAAGATATTTGATCAGCTGTTTTCTTGTACCTTAATTTTTCCCATTCATTGTATTTATTCTTAACCCAATTGTTGACCTTAGGCGCTTTCACACCGCAGTACTTTTCCCACAAAGGTTCATCAGAACTTAGTTCATGAGAACTCTTTAGTTCTCATGAACTAAGTACAGATCGCGTTCCCACCGGAATAAGTTCCCTGAGGGAAGATTAGGCAAATGAAGACGCTGACGTCACTTCTTCTTCTTCTGCTTTGGGTTTACTGGCAGGCCGCAAACCACTTCACGGCGTATACTGCCACCCGAAGTCCCCGGCCGGAAGTCCCCGGAGTTGGGGACTGGCTTCAGTAGAAGCTGCTGGGACTCCCAGCAGCTTCTACTGAAGCCTTCCGAGTAAATCGCCAGAACGCCGACACCTCCTCATCTCCACCGCTCCCATGTTTTCTTTTGTGTTGCCAAAAGTTAGTCTCTCTGTGTTTGTGCGCTGGGCTAATGCTAATAATGCTAATAATGCTAATGCGAGGAAACTTTTTTTGAGTTTTACGGGGCGTGGTTTGCAATCCGCCCAGCCAATCAGAAATAGGAACCTTTTCCAGCACGGCATTCGTTTGTGTCGGAGGCTGTTAAAGGCAATGTGAGCGTCCATTCCCATTGGACAACGGAGAATTGTACACCCGGAAGTAAGTATTCGCCTTACTGTCGATTGATTTGACAGTGATATCTCCACTACTCATCAACTCAAAAACACCAGATTACTGTATCGTTGTTAATTAAACGACGGTTTTAGTGTGTGAACAATGCTTTTGTCACGTTTTCCCCTTCAATTCTGAGAAACAAGTCGTTTTCTATGAGTTTTGGATGGCCGAAGACATTACATTACCCACAATCCTCTGTAGCAACCATAGACTGTATAATACAATTAAATAATACATTATTCCGAGTGCGCTTGCTTTTCTCTTTGAAAGTCATCACATAACGGCATTGTAATACACGTTTTGGCTGCATTAAATATGACATATCTGCCGTAGTTAACTCTATTTATAGAGCCCTGATGACAAGACTTCTAGACAAACAGGAACTGCAGCCAAAACTGAAAACTTGACGTGGATCTTAAATATATAAGCAATTAAACCACATCTTACATTTCTTTTCACACAATACGTCTCCTTGCAGTATCAATACTAATTCGGCTGACTTTTATATTTGATCCAATTGGTAGATAGGCTGTATTTACACCATAACGGTGCACAGCTGATAGAAAGGGACACCTACTGGTTAAAGCACATTATTGCATTTTATAATTGTATTATTAGATATTAATAGGATCCCTATAAAGTATATTCTTTACTCGTCGTTATTCTCTACTAATAGTTCATTAAAGACTGTATATAATGACTATTTTGCACATCCCTTTCAAGATTTCAACATTTTCTAAGGTTTATTGACATATTATATTATTATGCATTGAATGAAAAACTTGGGTCGCAGATTCCTAAACAGTGCATTACAAGACATCTATCAATATGTGTGTACCTCCACCATTACATTGTCATATTCTGCACATTTCTTATACTATTTACATACATCTTATAAGAGTATAATACATATGTATAATATCAGTTAAAATAAGTGCTTCAACATAGTTAACATTGCAGGAAAGCAATATATTAGACGTTAAGTACTTTGTCAGGCTTAATATTTATCTGTAATACAAATGTCACTGTGTGTGCTGTGTGCTCTGCATGTGTGACCATCAAAGAGGGTTTCATCCCTCCATATTCATCTTCTATACCCCCAAAGCTTTTTTCTTATTCAAAAGAAGACCTTAACCTAAAGTATTCTTTTATGTTTAAATAAAGCCTTATTAGTTTGTCTGTTTTGCACATCCTCCTATTAATATCTAATAATACAATTATAAAATGCAATAACGTGCTTTAACCACTAGATGTGCCTTTCTATCAGCTGTGCACCGTTATGGCGTAAATACAGCCTATCTACCAATTGGATCAAATATAAAAGTCAGCCGAATTAGTGTTGATACTGCAAGGAGACGTATTGTGTGAAAAGAAATGTAAGATGTTGTTTAATTGCTTATATATTTAAGATCCACGTCAAGTTTTCAGTTTTGGCTGCAGTTCCTGTTTGTCTAGAAGTGTTCTCATCAGGGCTCTGTAAATAGAGTTAACTACGGCAGATATGTCATATTTAATGCAGCCGAAACGTGTATTACAATGCCGTTATGTGATGACTTTCAAAGAAAAAAGCAAGCACACTCGGAATAATGTATTATTTAATTTGTTTATACAGTCTATGGTTGCTACAGAGGATTGTGGGTAATGTAATGCCTTCGGCCATCCAAAACTCATAGAAAACTACTTGTTTCTCAGAATTGAAGGGGAAAACGTGACAAAAGCATCGTACACACACTAAACCTATCAATGTCGTTTAATTAACAAGGATAATCTGGTGTTTTTGAGTTGATGAGTAGTGGAGATATCTCTGTCAAATCAATCGACAGTAAGGGGAATACTTACTTCCGGGTGTACAATTCTCCGTTATCCAATGGGAATGGACGCTCACATTGCCTTTAACAGCCTCCGACAGAAACGAATGCCGTGCTTCCCTAAGCGTCAAATACCGCCGCCGATGGGAATACATTGCAATCAGTTGAAAGCTCTTTGCGTCCGTTTATGAAGCTGAAGGAGCCTCGGCGCGTCACAACTGGACGCCACGGGACCCTGACCAAGCGTCGCTCCTGGACGCTTAGGGAGTGAGAGTGTGTTGAGCAGGGTTATGGCTAGAAAGGATCCGTCTTGTGTAAATATGACGTCACGTTCTCGTTGTAACTCTCGTTGTAATCGGAGCGGCTCGGAAACACATCTACAGCAGTAACATCATGCAACATACCAACCCAGTCTCACGGCATTTCGTGTTATAGTCACGAAATTAATTTAATCTATTGATTCATGTTCACCATCACGATTTTCGCATTTTTTTCGTGTCACACAGAACGATTTTAAAAGCAATGTATTTCTATTGGTAGTGTGTTTCGTGCCTGCACCACGTCTTTTTGTCCGGTCGGGTCTTGGAAGACCGGAAGCTGTGTGGTTCATAAAAACATGTTCTTACTCAATATCTTACCCTAAGCCTAACCCTATCCCTTTTTATTTTAAATTGACATAATTAATAGATAGTTTAGCTTCTCACCATAATTTGCTGTGGCCCACTGATGTTAACGATCGTAACTGAAAGGCTGCCTGCCAAACGTAAACATTCAGCCACGTGACTTGCAAACTCTCGCGAGAGTTGTACACAAGACGGATCCTTTCTAGCCATAACCCTCTAGCAGGGACGGAAAAGGGGGTAAAAAGGTTCTCATGAACTCATTTGAGTTCCGGATTTGTTTGGTGTGAACGCAACACTTCGGAACTATATCAGAACTAAAGTGGGAAAAGTACTGCGGTGTGAACGCGCCTCTTGTCTCACCGGTGCGATGTGAAAATGTGTTTTGGAAAGCCTTTATGTAAATTGAATACGGATTTCATCAAACAAACATATATTTCCACAGGCAGGACTCCACGTTATTGTTCAAACAAACAACAACAAATTGCAAGTCAAGTGCAAATTATTTTTACGATAATCTTCTCCGGTTACTTTGATAAAGTGGAGTGTGTGTATGACGGTGTTTTATTCCCTCTTTAAGCCGAACACACAGGGTCAGGTTTACAGCTGTTTGATGTGTACAAACGAAGAAGAGTGGATGAAGAGTCGATGAGGATGAAGACTTGTTTAACTTTAATTTTAACAGAGATGGAGGCTGAGAGTGAGGAAGAGGATGATGATGAAGATGATGATGGTAAAAAGGTCAGTGAGGCGGAGGGCCGCTCGCCCTCACTGAATGTCAATAAATATTGTTGATTTTCATTGTTCATTTTTTATGCCATTGTTGTTTTATGTACTGTAAATGTTGTTGTTAACACTTGCTATTTCCTGTTGTGTGTGTTCGTTATTTTTGCTGTTGTTGTTTGTTCTTAATGTGTAATGTTATTTTCTTTTTCTTGTCCTAAATGTTTCAGTGGGTCTGAGCTCTTACAAGCTATGATCATTTACTTGTAATCATTTTGTTTACATAAAAATACACCAATCATTGCTGTCCTCTATAGCTGTGTATCCATTCACCTGTTTCGCTGCACATTATTCCTTTACACAAAATAACAAATAAATACAAATAAAGTTTAAAAAAAGAAGATAAAAGTAGACCAAGTCATGTGAATAGAATTCCTACCGTAATTCAAACAATTAGGTACCGATATATGTATAAAACAAAATATTAATATGAGGTAGAGATTGTATTATTTAGTGTTTTTAAATTGTCACTCTTCACTAGACAACCTTTTATTAAATGTTTGTAGTGTTGGTCTACTTTGCAATTACTTTTTAGAAAACCTAGTTTAAGATTAAGCTTTCATTTTAATGATATAAATCAGGGGGGTCAAACTCAAATACACAGTGGGCCAAAATTTAAAAATGGGTACTAGTCGAGGGCCGGACTGGTTCAATGTTTATTGCAAAACGTATTGAAATGAACTTATTGCACATATTAAACCTGGAACTAACAAAGCTTAAATTATTGCCTATAAAAACAACATTAAACATTAAATAATCAGTTGCATTCATTTCTTATGTCTCTATCTGCAGCTTTTCCCGAGTCATTTCTTATGATTACATTTTTCCACAGGCCAACAACAGCTTCAACAAAACTATTTCCCTCAAAGAAAAAACCAAACATGCCCTGTTGTCTCAAGAAAAAAAGTGCAGAAGGAAACATCCATGTAAACTCAGTGTGCTGCTCTGTGATGCTAGTTCAAGCCAGATACTTGGCATCTCATCTTGGGTGCAAGTTCATCAATGTTTGGGCTCAGGCTCTGAGCTGAGGAGACCCTCAGGATGGAGTGAAGGTGTGCGTGCAATATACCGGCGGGCCAGATCTAATAGTAATTAGAAATTATCCTGCGGGCCGAAATTAAATCCACCAAGGGCCTGATTTGGCCCCCGGGCCTTGAGTTTGACACATGTGCTGTAAATGAACAGATCAATTATATGTATTTTTTAGGGAAACTTTTCATCTTAATCTCACAAAACCCTACTTTGAGATATTTCATAAAAGCTAATAATACCAAGAAAATGAGGTTTGAGGAGGTGTGGAAATGTCATTGTAATTCTGTTCACTCTTGTTTTTGTGTTTGTATTTCTGTCAGATAATGATAATGCTGTACTTTTTAAGTGTTCAAAAATTCCTGACCACAATTTGTTGGACCAAATCAATCTGCTGAAACTTCACTTCCAACATTACCCAAGTACATGCATCAATCAGACCATTTAACCACAGATTTAAATGTAAAGCTTGAGCTTCAATATCAGGATACATGTATTTATTATCCTTGCAAGAAAGTAGTCATCACACACAGAGTTGCATGGGACAAATAGTCCCCGAATAGTGTCCTTGACATGCTTATATACAAGAGAGGGTGTTACACATGTGTACTGGTTCAAAGCAGTATTCTGGCATTAGTTCAGATTAGTTTAGGCCTGCGTAAGCAATAAACATCACAGTCATATGTCTATCTCCCTAGGGGCTGAGTCATCATGTTAATCGTTGGAACATAGCTATCATATGTCTAAAACAGTGTCTCATGAGCGTCATCCATGTAATCATACATCTGGTTATGTACACAGTTACGTAGGGGGTCTGTTATCATGTGCTACTCTGATATAGAAACAGTACATTCAGTATTTTCCCAACAGAAATGTCCCTCTTTAACTTGTTTTTCCTGTGTATCTGTGTCAGGGCTCAGCAGAGCGCGAGGCCGTGGCCACCGAGGAGATGTCCACGCTGGTGAACTACGTCCAGCCAACCAAGTTCAACTCCTTCGAAGCTTCAAAGAGTGAGAAAAGCTGATCATACACACATTGATTTACACTTTCTCTGCAACACAATTCATGAGACAGTTCTCCCACAAAGCTGGATTTCATGCTTCAGCTCTATCTGCAGAGGATCAACATTTCACACCTTGAGAATAATCTTTGATATGAATGTACAATCACACAGCAGCTGTTTCTCTGTATGAACCCATTGATTCAAAGATTTAAAGGCTTTATTGTCATATGCACACAGTGTAGTTTAAGCATGAACATCCTAACGGAGCGTCCACACAGCAGCGTTAAAAAAAATCTTGGAGGTGGGCGTATCTGAAGCTTGGGGATTTTTTGCGAGCAAGGCGACCAACAACCAATCACATGAATCTCCCGCCCCCGACATACGAAGCAAAAAAGCCCGAAGTAAACTGGATATAAACTCCCCAAACAGGCGAAAACCTACCACTGTCTCTGCCACCTCCCTCCATGCCTGGCTCCTCCGGTTTGTATCCCGGTAGGTAAATAGGGACTGGTCATAAAGCACCGGGTGATTCCCTACCGCTAATTTCTCCTCCATTTTTTGGAATATGAGGAAATGACCTGCGGTATGTCTCTCCCAGCATACACGCGGTTTGATTGGCTAGCGCTTGAACGGTCAGATTTGCATACACAGGATTTGATTGGCTGACGCTTCCACCTCAGCTTCAAAAGTTGAACATTGCTCAACTTTGAATCCTGAAAATCCAGAAAATCTCCGCTCGCCTGCCCACAATGCAGTTCGGCGAAAAGTGAGGCAAAGTGACGTCACCCCATTCAAAGTGAATGGGCAGAAGCGTTAGAAGATTTTTTTAACGCTGCTGTGTGGACGGTCCGTAAGGCTTCTCCAACAGAGAAACATACTATAAACTTAAAAAGGCCCTATTATGCTCTTTGGAGTGTTTCCTTTCCTGTAGGTTTGTGTGCATGTAAATAGCCGGCCAGCTAACCAATCAGAGCAAACTGGGCTCTGGTTTCAGACAGAGGGTGAAAGAGGTGCTGCAGCACAGGCAGTATGAGAAAAATAAAGAGCTTTTTGAACATTAAAGCACGGAGACATGTCCCAGTAGAGACACTACATACTGATATCCACCTGAACATCAGCAGGAGAGGACTCTTTAAAGTAGAGACACTACATACTGATATACACCTGAACATCAGCAGGAGAGGACTCTTTAAAGTAGAGACACTACATACTGATATACACCTGAACATCAGCAGGAGAGGACTCTTTAAAGTAGAGACACTACATACTGATATACACCTGCACATCAGCAGGAGAGGACTCTTTAAAGTAGAGACACTACATACTGATATACACCTGAACATCAGCAGGAGAGGACTCTTTAAAGTAGAGACACTACATACTGATATACACCTGAACATCAGCAGGAGAGGACTCTTTAAAGTAGAGACACTACATACTGATATACACCTGAACATCAGCAGGAGAGGACTCTTTAAAGTAGAGACACTACATACTGATATACACCTGAACATCATCAGGAGAGGACTCTTTAAAGTAGAGACACTACATACTGATATACACCTGAACATCAGCAGGAGAGGACTCTTTAAAGTAGAGACACTACATACTGATATACACCTGAACATCATCAGGAGAGGACTCTTTAAAGTAGAGACACAACATACTGATATACACCTGAACATCAGCAGGAGAGGACTCTTTAAAGTAGAGACACAACATACTGATATACACCTGAACATCAGCAGGAGAGGACTCTTTAAAGTAGAGACACTACATACTGATATACACCTGAACATCAGCAGGAGAGGACTCTTTAAAGTAGAGACACGACATACTGATATACACCTGAACATCAGCAGGAGAGGACTCTTTAAAGTAGAGACACTACATACTGATATACACCTGAACATCAGCAGGAGAGGACTTTTTAAAGTAGAGACACTACATACTGATATACACCTGAACATCAGCAGGAGAGGACTCTTTAAAGTAGAGACACTACATACTGATATACACCTGAACATCAGCAGGAGAGGACTCTTTAAAGTAGAGACACAACATACTGATATACACCTGAACATCAGCAGAAGAGGACTCTTTAAAGTAGAGACACTACATACTGATATACACCTGAACATCAGCAGGAGAGGACTCTTTAAAGTAGAGACACTACATACTGATATACACCTGAACATCAGCAGGAGAGGACTCTTTAAAGTAGAGACACTACATACTGATATACACCTGAACATCAGCAGGAGAGGACTCTTTAAAGTAGAGACACTACATACTGATATACACCTGAACATCATCAGGAGAGGACTCTTTAAAGTAGAGACACTACATACTGATATACACCTGAACATCAGCAGGAGAGGACTCTTTAAAGTAGAGACACTACATACTGATATACACCTGAACATCATCAGGAGAGGACTCTTTAAAGTAGAGACACAACATACTGATATACACCTGAACATCAGCAGGAGAGGACTCTTTAAAGTAGAGACACAACATACTGATATACACCTGAACATCAGCAGGAGAGGACTCTTTAAAGTAGAGACACTACATACTGATATACACCTGAACATCAGCAGGAGAGGACTCTTTAAAGTAGAGACACGACATACTGATATACACCTGAACATCAGCAGGAGAGGACTCTTTAAAGTAGAGACACTACATACTGATATACACCTGAACATCAGCAGGAGAGGACTTTTTAAAGTAGAGACACTACATACTGATATACACCTGAACATCAGCAGGAGAGGACTCTTTAAAGTAGAGACACTACATACTGATATACACCTGAACATCAGCAGGAGAGGACTCTTTAAAGTAGAGACACAACATACTGATATACACCTGAACATCAGCAGAAGAGGACTCTTTAAAGTAGAGACACTACATACTGATATACACCTGAACATCAGCAGGAGAGGACTCTTTAAAGTAGAGACACTACATACTGATATACACCTGAACATCAGCAGGAGAGGACTCTTTAAAGTAGAGACACTACATACTGATATACACCTGAACATCAGCAGGAGAGGACTCTTTAAAGTAGAGACACAACATACTGATATACACCTGAACATCAGCAGGAGAGGACTCTTTAAAGTAGAGACACTACATACTGATATACACCTGAACATCAGCAGGAGAGGACTCTTTAAAGTAGAGACACTACATACTGATATACACCTGAACATCAGCAGGAGAGGACTCTTTAAAGTAGAGACACTACATACTGATATACACCTGAACATCAGCAGGAGAGGACTCTTTAAAGTAGAGACACTACATATTGATATGAACCTGAAAATGAGCAGAATATGGCCCCTTTAAATCAAAGAGCTGAAATTGTCCAACTTCCTGTTGATTACATCACATTCCCATCCCTTAGAAAGAGAATATGGGAATCGTGATGAAACCAAGGCAATTGCTGAACAATATTTGTGTGTGTGTGTGTGTGTGTGTGTGTGTGTGTGTGTGTGTGTGTGTGTGTGTGTGTGTGTGTGTGTGTGTGTGTGTGTGTGTGTGTGTGTGTGTGTGTGTGTGTGTGTGTGTGTGTGTGTGTGTGTGTGTGTGTGTGTGTGTGTGTAGAGGCAGCTCGTTGTCACCACATGTCGTCCTTCGTGGAGACCAAAGCTCTGGAGCATCTCACAAAGACACCGGTGGAGTTTGTGGAGTATCCTTGGCAACAGTTACTGTGGATACGCCGCTCCATGGCAACCGCTTCCATGCTTTGTGTCCCTTCTCTTTTGTTTTTATTAGTATGTATTAACCTAAAACAATTTCTTAGACCTCCCTGAGAGACTGTTAATAGGATTTTCTTAAATAGCAATATTATTTTTCAGGGGCTCTACTGTATAACCCCGCCCAAGAATATATTTTTATTTTAATGACTTGAAAATTACACCTTTTCAGAAATGCTTTTACATTTTTGTTTTCTACATTTTAGGTTTGTTCATTTTTAGGATCATTTTTAACCTGTACATTTATAACGTACAATATATTTTATACCTTATAAATATATATTTATAAAAAAAAGTACTAAAATGTATTATTATTATTATTTTTATTGTATTATTTAGATTTTTTATAATTTTTTATTAATCATAATAATGTCAAAAATAATACGGTTATTATTATTGTTTATTTGTATTATCATTATATTAGAGGTGTAGAAAATTAGTGTATTGGTACATTTAGTCTGATGCGCTTTAGTGGTAGCATTTGTAGTAATATTGATTATTTTTTTATGAATTATTAAAATGTTTGTGCTCTGGAGGATGTCTTGCTGTTATTTTGTTCTTTGAAATTAAATATTTTCCCTGAGATGGGGATTTAGAAATATTTTAACTCACTTAACATAATTGTTGTTAACCTTACATTAATTACCCAGATATAATAAATCCCAGTTGAGTCGTATCTACCCAAAAGGAACCAGAGTGGATTCCTCTAACTTCATGCCGCAGCTTTTCTGGAACGCCGGCTGTCAACTCGTGGCTCTCAACTACCAGACTATAGGTGAGCATTCAGTGTTTTAATGTCAACATGTTACGCAAAAGAGCAGTGATTTTTAAACCTTAAAGTGGACCTATCATGCTATATTTGAATAATATAGTGTAGGACCATAAGGCATATTTATACTTTTTTTTTTTCAAAATACCAAACAGATCATGCATTTTAGCCATGCCTCATTTTGCTCAATTTGACAATTTCTAGCTCTGTTTTTGCAAGGGCTGATTCTATGAGAACAGCACTGGCCTGGCATATGTACTACAGCGTCTCCAGCGCTTTCGAACGGCAATGGCCGTGGCTGTCTCCTCCTGATTGGTGGAGTTGGCCCAATAGCCGTAGCGCCACTGTCCTGACGTCAGGACAGTGTTCAAATCTGGATCAGTTTTTATCAGATCCGTTGCAGCCCCTTTTTTAGAGATTTGGGTATGGAGGAAAATAGAGAGGGTTGTGTTTTCTGACACTTGGTGAGTTCCCTGGAAGACCGGGGACACATATTCATGTATAAAAGACGTACAAAAGTGCATTTTGCATGATAGGTCCCCTTTAAACAAAAAACTTTGTGGCATTCTTCCTTCACAGTTTATGTAATTTAAAGGGGACCTATCATGCAAAATGCACTTTCTGGTGTCTTTTATACATAAATATGTGTCCCCGGTGTGTCGGGGAACTCACGCAGCGTCAGAAAATAAAACCCTCTCTCTTTTCCTCCGTATCCACATCTTTTAAAAACGGGGGTACCACGAGCGGATACAGATTTGCTGCCGATATGACGTCAAATCGGCAGCGGACCCACAGAAAGTTGATATCAGAAACAATGCCTGACGTTTTTTGGACGTAATCTCGTCTTTGTTTACATTAGCAAGCCTCGCTAACACTCAGAGCTAACCTGTACTGGAGAGCACATGTGTTTAAAAAGCAGGAAATTAAAAAAGGAACTCACCTTGTGATAAACCCGCAAGAGAAAAAGCATTTGAGCTCCATACTGTTTCAGAAATAATCCTTGATGTGGTTTAGAACGGGATGGCGTTTTATCACAGCAGAATTTAACTTTATCTCCGGTAGAATTCTGATTAGGCATTAGCTCCGCCTCCTCTTTTTTTTTTTTTCAAGCTAAGGACCCAAAATCTGCTTTTCTCTAACAGGGCTGCAAAAGAGGGGTTTGAGCAATATGAGGCATGGCTACAATAGGCGCTTTCACACTTTCCCAGGAATAGTTCCGATAGTTCCTGGGATTTTGCGTTCACACCAAAAAGTACTGGAACTAGAACTTTTTTTGCGAACCTTTTCACCCCTTTTCAGTCCCTGCTAGAGAGGTGGTACTTTCCTGGGGAGAAAAAGGTTCCAATTTCTGATTGGCTGGGCGAATTGCAAACCACGCCCCGTAAAACTCGGAAAGGTTTTGTGAAGCCGCCATTGTATTTGCTGGCATTAGCATTATTAGTATTAGCATTAGCCCAGCGCACCAACGGAGAGAGAATAATTTATGGCAACACAAAAAAAACGGTGGAGATGAGGAGGTGTCGATTTACTCGGAAGGCTTCAGTAGAAGCTGCTGGGACTCCCAGCAGCTTCTACTGAAGCCAGTCCCCAACTCCGGGGACTTCCGGCCGGGGACTTCGGGTGGCAGTATACGCCGTGAAGTTATTTGCGGCCTGCCAGTAAACCCAAAGCAGAAGAAGAAGAAGTGACGGCTTCATTTGCCTAATCCTCCCTCAGGGACTTACTAAAGTGTGAACTAAAGAGTTCCGATGAACTAAGTACTGGGAACTAAGTACGGCAAAGTGCTTGGTGTGAAAGCGCCTAATGGGTGATCTGTTTGGTATTTTAAGCAAAAAACTTCACAGACATGTTTTGTATAGGTATGGCCCTACAATATATTTTTCCAATATAACATAATACATTACATTGCATTTAGCTGACGCTTTTATCCAAAGCGACTTACAATAAGTGCATTCGACCAAGAAGATACAAACTTGAAGAAAACAGAATCATATAAGTACATTAGTTTTCATAGAGCCAAAACATTTCAAGTACTACTCAACTGGCTTTAGATTAGCCAGTCCTTTGTTAGTATATAAGTGCTGTATATAATTATTTGTTAGTAATTGTATTGCTCGAAGTGGAGTCGAAAGAGATGAGTTTTCAGTCTGCGCCGGAAGATGTGTAGGCTTTCTGCTGTCCTGATGTCAATGGGGAGCTCAGGTCAACTTGAAATGTTTAGGGATAAAGTGCTTAAAATGTCCAGTAATTCCTAAGAAAATAAGACAAATTAGAAGACTGCTTATAATAAACGACCAGATTTATTAACCTTACCTCTGCGAACAAGAGTTCCCTGAATAATTAAAAGTATTTTCAGGCAACTAAATCTAGACACTCGTGCAAAAATGGCGGCAGGTGGGCGCTAGAGAATATGGGAAAATATACCAATTAATTGAGTTTAATGAAGATTAAACATGACTTTTAATATTAATTAAGTCTATTGTTGTTATTTGATCACTGCTAATTGATATAAAAATGTGTATAGGGGCAAGTAGGTTTCTTGAACCGTAGTGAAACATAGTCAATGTTATACAATTTATCTCAATATACTTAATACATATTTTACCACTTGCAATTAAGATGAAAGGACATTGCAAACACTGCACTTAATTTCGTTTGCTAACTCAACCCAAAATTCATCCAAAATCAGTACAAGTTCAATTGATTTAAGCTTTTCAAGAATTTCATAAATTCAAAGCATCAAAACTCGGAATTCAAGCAGCTATTGGTGGGATGCTAAAATAATGTATTTTACTGCTCTTTTGAACTCATAGCTCATATATACACTTATATTGTAACTCCAATTTATTAACTGCATTGCGAAAAGTTTGTACTTAACTTAATATTGTCTTTTTGTCCCAGATTTGTCCATGCAGCTGAATCTCTTCATGTTTGAGTATAATGGTCGCAGCGGCTACAGACTTAAGCCGGAGTTCATGAGACGACCGGACAAACACTTCGACCCTTTTGCAGAAAACACGGTGGACGGCATCGTGGCTAACACCCTCTCTGTGAAGGTACTTTCCTCTTTAAAGGGACAGTTCAACAGAGATGGCAAAAGTACACACATCCTTTACTCAAGTAGAAGTACAGATACTCGTGTTTAAAAATACTCTGGTAAAAGTAGAAGTACTGACTAAACCTCTTTACTCAAGTAAAAGTAAAGAGGGCTTTGAAATGTACTTAAGTAAAAAGTACCCATAACTAGCAGCTGTTTTAAAGAGTACCTGACCTCCCTTTATATTAATAGAACAATAATGTCATTGTTAGCTAATGAATGTTTCCATGCTGAACAACGGCAACATGACAATGTTTTCATTGGTCCCTCTTCTTTAGAGAAGACCAGGAAATGATGGATACACGGATCGTGTTCAAATCAATAGGCACGCAATGACTCTAAATAATAATGATCACGCTACCAAACACACATTCAAACTAAAGGAACCAGCCTGTTTGGAAAATGTAAGAAGTAGAAAGTACAGGTGTTTGTGTTCAAAATGTAAGAAGTAGAAAGTACAGGTATTTGTGTTCAAAATGTAAGAAGTAAAAATAAAAAGTCATCAGAAAAATAAGTCGTGGAGTAAAGTACTGATACCAGAACAATGTACTTAAGTACAGTAACGAAGTATTTGTACTCCATTCTGTATTTCAGAGAGTTTGAAGTGGGGTCGTTTGAGGTATTTATCTAAAACCAAGCCCTAGTTTGGAGAAATACACAGTAATGGCTGCACAGAAACTGATCAATGCACTTGTGTGGACAGGGGTAGCAGCAAAACACCCTGAAGGAAAAGCCAACATCAATGTAGGTTTATGAACGTCTGTATGTATGGTGTTACATCCATAAATGCTCTCGCCAAAGCCACCTGACTCCTTTGCCAAAACTAGTAGTTTTTCCTCCCAGAACACAGGAGTTGTTGGTGCACAGTCTATATAGGTTAGTTGTTAGTTTGTGTTCCTGTGTGGATTCATTTTTGGATTCAGCAGCGGCAAATCTACTTTTGGGCTTCTAACGAAAATATGTGGACTCATGTGAGGGTTTTTAGGACTCATTCCTGCACCTCTCAATTACATGTTAGGTGTATTTACTGAAACGTTTCCTTGTCTGTGTGTGTGTGATCCAGGTAATTTCAGGACAGTTTCTCACTGAGAAGCGTGTGGGTGTGTATGTGGAGGCGGACATGTTCGGACTTCCTGCAGACACCAGGAGGAAAGCCCTGAAAACTAAAACCTCTCAGAACAACAACGCCGTCAACCCGGTGTGGGACGAGGAGCCCATCGTCTTCAAAAAGGTGAGACTCAACAGAAACCAACCTGAGCTGTAACTCTGACTCATCTGCTGATAACTCTTCCTCCTACTTCCTGTTGAAAAAGCTTCTGATATCCATTAGTGTAGCTAGCTCCAGATGCTAACAACAATAACCAGTGTGATGATGTTCTGACTCTCTGACTCTCTGACTCTCTGACTCTCTGACTCTCTGACTCTCTGTCTCTCTGTCTCTCTGACTCTCTGACTCTCTGACTCTCTGACTCTCTGACTCTCTGACTCTCTGACTCTCTGACTCTCTGACTCTCTGTCTCTCTGTCTCTCTGACTCTCTGACTCTCTGACTCTCTGACTCTCTGTCTCTCTGACTCTCTGACTCTCTCTCTCTCTGTCTCTCTGACTCTCTGACTCTCTGACTCTCTGTCTCTCTGACTCTCTGACTCTCTCTCTCTCTGTCTCTCTGACTCTCTGACTCTCTGACTCTCTGTCTCTCTGACTCTCTGTCTCTCTGTCTCTCTGACTCTCTGTCTCTCTGACTCTCTGACTCTCTGACTCTCTGACTCTCTGACTCTTTGACTCTCTGACTCTCTGTCTCTCTGACTCTCTGACTCTCTCTCTCTCTGTCTCTCTGACTCTCTGACTCTCTGACTCTCTGTCTCTCTGACTCTCTGTCTCTCTGTCTCTCTGACTCTCTGTCTCTCTGTCTCTCTGACTCTCTGACTCTCTGACTCTCTCTCTCTCTGACTCTCTGACTCTCTGTCTCTTTGACTCTCTGACTCTCTGACTCTCTGACTCTCTGACTCTCTGTCTCTCTGACTCTCTGACTCTCTGTCTCTTTGACTCTCTGACTCTCTGACTCTCTGACTCTCTGTCTCTCTGACTCTCTGACTCTCTGACTCTTTGACTCTCTGACTCTCTGACTCTCTGACTCTCTGTCTCTCTGACTCTCTGTCTCTCTGACTCTCTGTCTCTCTGACTCTCTGACTCTCTGTCTCTTTGACTCTCTGACTCTCTGTCTCTCTGACTCTCTGACTCTTTGACTCTCTGACTCTCTGTCTCTCTGACTCTCTGACTCTCTGACTCTCTGACTCTCTGTCTCTCTGACTCTCTGACTCTCTGACTCTCTGTCTCTCTGACTCTCTGTCTCTCTGTCTCTCTGACTCTCTGACTCTCTGACTCTCTGTCTCTCTGACTCTCTGACTCTCTGACTCTCTGACTCTCTGTCTCTCTGACTCTCTGACTTTCTGACTCGCTGTCTCTTTGACTCTCTGACTCTCTCTCTCTCTGACTCTCTGACTCTCTGACTCTCTGACTCTCTGTCTCTCTAACTCTCTGTCTCTCTGACTCTCTGACTCTCTCTCTCTGACTCTCTGTCTCTCTGACTCTCTGTCTCTGACTCTGACTCTCTGACTCTCTGACTCTCTGACTCTCTGACTCTCTGACTCTCTGACTCTCTGACTCTCTGACTCTCTGACTCTCTGACTCTCTGACTCTCTGACTCTCTGACTCTCTGACTCTCTGACTCTCTGACTCTCTGTCTCTCTGACTCTCTGACTCTCTGACTCTCTGACTCTCTCTCTCTCTGACTCTCTGTCTCTCTGACTCTCTGACTCTCTGACTCTCTGACTCTCTGACTCTCTGACTCTCTCTCTCTCTGACTCTCTGTCTCTCTGACTCTCTGACTCTCTGACTCTCTGACTCTCTCTCTCTCTGACTCTCTGTCTCTCTGACTCTCTGTCTCTCTGTCTCTCTGTCTCTCTGATTCTCTGTCTCTCTGACTCTCTGACTCTCTGACTCTCTCACTCTCTGACTCTCTGACTCTCTGACTCTCTCTCTCTCTGACTCTCTCTCTCTCTGACTCTCTGACTCTCTGACTCTCTGACTCTCTGACTCTCTGACTCTCTGCAGGTGATTCTTCCCACTCTGGCCTCGCTGAGGATCGCTGCTTTTGAGGAAGGAGGAAAGTTTATCGGTCATCGGATTATTCCAGTGTCTGCCATTAGACCAGGTAGTTATTCATCCCACATTAACTTCCTCTCTGTCTATTGTGAGACTGTAATGTATCAGTGTGTAGTATTAAGAGGAAACTATTAGAAGAAATGTAATATTATCATATACATTTTCATTGCTATGTTTCCTTGTAATTTTGTCTTCATACATCTCCTTATTTCTTGCCTGATTCTTTCATTATTACTCAACCAAAATATCAGACTCTTTGGCTTCAGACAGTTGGTTGATTTTTCTTTCAGGTTATCGTTACATCAGCTTGAGGAACGAAAAGAATCAGTCTCTGGTTCTGCCGGCTGTGTTTGTCTACATCGAGGTCAAAGACTACGTCCCAGACACCTTTGCAGGTAATAAATCAAAGAAAGTAAATACTGTTCTGCAGAAAAACAACTCTTCCTACATAGTTTCACAAAAAACGAGTTTTAAAATCAAGAAATTTGCTGAATTTCATGCAAGAATGTTTTTTTTCGGACCAGTCTAAATTTTTCCTATAATAATAAACAATCCATTTTAATTTGTTGATTTTATTCAGTTTTATTTACAGTATTTGTATGATAATATACAACTAAAATAATGTTGAGTAGAAGTACAAAGCAGCAGACAATGAAAATACAAGTACCTCAATATTGTGTTTATTTAATTCTCACATAAATTGACTTTAATGTTACACCACTGTAGACTTTATACTCAGTTATTGAGTTGCAATCTACACAAAGAACATTTTTCTGCACTTCAACAACATTTATAAGTAACTTAAATATGTCCACGTCCATGAAACAGACCCTATAAAGCAGTGGTTCTCAAATGGGGGTACGCGGACCCCTATGGGTACGTTGGGGTACTGCAGGGGGTACGTGAGATTAAAAAAAAAAAAAAAAAAAAGGTTAATTAAAAAAATACCATGCATGATTACAAAAATAATCTTAGAACAATAAGTTAAATAGAAAACACAATTTTATATAAAAAATTCCTAGAACCACCAAGGGGGTCCTCATATAAACATGTCAAATGTGTGTATTGTATTTTATAGTTTTTCACAATATATCATTTTGTTCATTAGTTTGTTAAACATATATTACTTCAGTTGAAAAACTCCTTGGAAAAACCTGTTTTATAAAAACGTTATTTTTTTTCATGCATAAAATGAAAATATCCTTAGTTTGTTGTAATTCATGCACGAAGCAGTTAATAAATCACACACTGAGGGAACATCACTATATTGTAATTATTTATATAGGCTTTTTCGATCAAAAATGTTTGGGGTCGGTCAGGGGGTACTTGACTGAGAAAATGTTTCAAAGGGAGTACATTACTGAAAAAAGTTTGAGAAGCACTGCTATAAAGTACACGCAGCTCTGTATTCATCTAGGTTTTTTAATCTTTATCTGCATTTCCTGTCCAGATGTGATCGAGGCTCTGTCCAACCCGATCCGGTACGTGAACCTTCTGGAGCAGCGGTCCAAACAGCTGGCCGCGCTGACACTGGAGGATGGAGAGGAGGACGCACACACCGAGGTGAGGCTCTGCTGGTTATTATAGTTATAGGACGCATCTTTACATAATTAAATTCAAATTCAAAGGTTTTATTATCATATGCACAAAGCTACAGTGTAGAAATGGCAATGAAAATCTTCTGACCTGAGCTCCTCCAACAATGCAACATATATAATAAAATACAAAAATACTAAATACTAAATAAAAGGTAGTCTATATACATGTCAATATACATGTTTGCCTAGGGTCCCCACAGACTCTAGAATCGCCACTGCTTGGGTGTCTCCCCTTAAAAAATACTTAAGATATTCATTAACCTGTTACGCACCGCCCCCCCAGTACCGGGCTGATAAACGCGTCATTTGCAGGAAACAACATCTAAGGAATCTTAATATTTAATAAACTATGAGTGTTTTATATCCATGTAACGGGAAGAAACTCAGCTAACTGATCTTTTTAATTTTTTTTTCCAACAAAAACCCACAATGCTAACACTCAGCCTCTGAATTAGCCACGAGCGAAAAAATGTAACCTATCTCTGCACCTAAACTCACTCTAACTCCCTTATTACTTATCCTAGATGCACAGCCAACCACTCGTTTTGCATCAGCTGGAGACATAGAATCGTTTGGTGCCCACCTCAACACTCAGTGATAAACATTTGCGACGCTATAAACGAAAGCGTACATCATAACATGTGGAGCTAGGTAGCTAGAAACGCTAACATGGCTTACCTTGGTCAAAACTGGTCTTCAATGGCATTAAAACGCTAAAAAAACGATGCTGCAGTTAATCCATAGGTTAATCCAATGTGTCTGTGTCCTCTTTGAAATAAAATGTCTGATAATCCATAAGCAATAAAACTGTTTTTTGTTTCCAAATGTCAGAGCTAGAGATAGGTCCACTCTGCTGCAAATTTACATGCGCGCAGCCCCCACCTTTTCTCTTCACAACGTGTGTGTGTGGGGGCCTCCCCCTTCGATTCTATTGGCTCTAACGGTCAGAAAGAGGTGTCAACCATCCAAATCACCTCAGAGGTGGGGTGGTTTTGGCTAAACCTCTCTAAAAAGGTCAAATGTCACTTGTTTTGCATCAATCTTGATACAGGGTACTTATTATATGTTGTACTTTGGATTCCTAAAGCTTTTAGTCTACTAACCCCATCATCCAAGGGTAGTTTTCACTATCTGTAAAAAAGAATTTTTGGACGGACACTATAATTTACAGTTTTTTACTATGTAAAATCTGAATTTTCTTTAAAATAAAAAACATCTATATTGATTCTGACACTTCTACATCCAACTCACAGATGTAACCTTGCTTTGATAAAAGAAATTATTCATATAACCCTTTTAGAAGTTAAGTTGTAGTCATTTGTTTTGGGCATGTCATTTTCGAGCCTGAAACATGAAAAACAGGCTTGGTGCTTAACAGGTTAAAGAAAACTCAAATTCTTGTTTTATTTGTTAATACTGAACTTGTGTTTGGCTGTTATTTATTCTTGTTGTGTTGTGTTTATTCAGGATGAGGCAGATACCTGTGCAGAGCGTAAGGCTGATCTGAAACCAGCTCCTCAGGAGAACGGGTTAAGCCCCACCCCCGGCCATGCAGGCCACACCCCCATCTCCACCACACCCAAAGCCGCCGCAGCCAATCAGCAAGCAGCTACGACAGGTAGCCCCCGCCTCCAGAGACACACATTCACAAAGTGCTTAAAGTACATCTTAATGTGCCAATATTCATACGTTTAGCTGTTCAATTAACCTTTTATTGATGTTTTTCATGTCTTCTCTGCGTTTTAGAAGCAGCCAAACCAGCAGCAAAGAGTGAAGATCTGGTTTTAAGTGTTTTGATAGGTGAGACATGTTGCTATCAACAGACTTTTTTTTTATCATGATTGACCAAAAAAGTATTATTAATGATGAAATATATGATGAAACTCATACAAGCTTTAAAAGAAACACTAGACATATATGTAGTAACATGTGTTGTTTGCATTTTATTGTTCTCTTTTATCCTTTTGCCTCTATCCACTTGTCTTTCATCCTTTTTTCATAACTAATGCTGTTGATGTATTGTGATTTTAAAAAGGTATCCATTATCATCTGGACAACAGCTGGAAATTAGCAATGTTGGCTAAAGTTGCCCCATGTACTATTTTTTGTGACAGTTGATAAATGGGGACTGTCCACGACACTATGAACAAATAATCTAAACTAAACTAGAGAGAGTTCATTCAAAATATCCACATTTGCCCCCAGATGTGCCGGTGTGCTCCATGGAGGCTCTGCAGCAGTCGAAGGTTTACCAGAAGGAGCAGCGGCGGCAGTTCAAGGAGCTGAAGGAGCTGGTGAGGAGGCACCAGAAGAAAACCTCCGAACTGCTCCGAGAAATCAATAACAAGTTCAAGAAGACGGTCCGGCAGTGCAGCAAGAGCAGGTAGTGACCTGTAAAACAAGATGTCATCAGTATCTTAAAGGTCACCTATTATGCAAAATCCACTTCTTCATGTCTCTTCTACATCAACATGTGTCCCCTCTGTGGAAAGAGATTCTGAAAGTTTCAGGAAAAAAGATTCTCTCTCTTTTTGTCCTGATCCATTTATATAAAAACCTGTCTGAAAATGAGCTTTGCCACTTTGTGATGTCATAACGATGTTTTGTCTTGTGTAACCCCCCCCCCCACCTTATCACCTGAATCTCCTCCTAGAGCACCATTGTGTTCTTTGTAACCAAATCTCTCTCAGAGGGGCGTGGGGAGGGGCTCCTTATTTTCATCTAAAGTAACAGACAGAGAATCAGCACTTTGGAAACAGGGCTGAAACAGAGGGGATTATGGGATGCTGCAATGATCTGTTTGGTGTTTGGAGCCAAACACTTCAGAGACATGTTTGTATATATCTGAGACCTGTGATATATTGATGAGAAAGAGTATAATAGGGGACCTTTAATTCAACTGCACTTATTGTAAGTTGCTTTGGTGAGGCGGGAGGCTGTGGCGCAGTGGGCTAGTGCGTTGGTGTTTGGATCAGGGGAGCACAGGTTCAAACCCCACTGCAGTCAGCATGTCATTGTGTCCCTGGGACACTTCACCCCAAATTGCTCCTGTGGGGTTTGCCCACAGTATTGAGTATGTAAGTCGCTTTGGATAAAAGCATCTAACAAGTAACATGTAATGTAATGTAAATGAAAGTGTTATGTCAAATCGAATAGGGATTTGTAAAATGGCCGCTGTATTTCTCATTTACTCATTTATGCTCCTCAGGGGTTCGGAGGTGGAGAAGGACGAGCGTCTGCAGCAGCTCAGAGACGAGCAGCAGCAGCAGCTCCTGACTCTGAGGCAGGAGCAGTACTACAGCCAGAAGTACCTGCAGAGAGAACACATCAAAATGGTAACCACAAGTAGTGTAACAAAAACAACTGGACCATCCTAACCTGAGCTGCCTTTCTGCTCCAGGCAAATAGTTCAAATAAAATAAACAATATTTCAATTCTTTAAAATGAGGTTGTGCAGTAGGTTGTTATTTTATAATGCAAGAAAAGACACCTCAAGTAAATAAAGTAAAAATCTAAAGTAATAGACACCCCTACGAAACTCCCATTATGAAACATTTTCATATTTTTTCTGAAATATTCTGTTTAAATACTGTATCTGTATCTGTGTTAAAGATAAACAGAAATATGAACATAATGCCACATGTTTTGCATTAAGTTGATATATTAGAGTCTTTACTGAGGGGATTTTCTATTTCTCTTTGCAAACTTTGCAAGGTTGTTAATGGAAAAACTACTTTAAAAATAAGTTATCTATTACAAGTTGCCTGAAACCTTATTTTAAATATGCAAATTAGGCTTAATGTAATGCTAACTTTATGGGGAATTTTAAGATAAATCTTCAGACAAAGTAAAAAAATGAAAGTGCTTTCTTTACACTGTATGTCTTCCTTTAGACGTGTTATGACCCAAACATAAAAAAAGGTCACAGTCGAACCCCAATGCTCCAGCTTCTGTAGAGTTTAGTTCTACGTTTATCAGACCATGTGCTGCTTTATCCCAGTTTAGTTTAAACATGGATGTGAAATGTGTCTCCTGCAGCTGACGGAGAGGCTGAGCAGTCTGGCTGAGGAGAGTCACAACACGCAGATGAAGAAACTCAAAGACATCTGCGACAAGTGAGTCTCAAACATGAGATTTAAACAACACACATTTAGGTGCAAAAATACAAAGAATAACTTTTGCTTTTGGTGAAAGTTGATGCCTTTACTTTTGTACGTTTGTATTCGACTGGCGTTCCTTCGTGGGGTCAGCCAGTGAGATTCTTCTGCACCTTTTTCTGAAACACTTTTTAGGATCGCTGCCCTCTGCAGATATGAAACCATTTTCTACCCCAAATTGAACATTTTCAAACAAGTTATTTTGTGACTGATCGCTCCCACTGAGCTCTAGTGTTTTTTCTGCTGCTGTAGGGAGAAAAAAGAGTTGAAGAGACAGATGGATCGAAGGAGAACAGAGAAGATCAACCAAGCGAAGACCAAAGAGAAACATCTGGCAGAAGAGTACGATCCATAAACACACACACACACACACACACACACACACACACACACACACACACACACACACACACACACACACACACACACACACACACACACACACACACACACACACACACACACACACACACACATAACTTTAGTGTATCTCATAAAAATGTTTATCTGGAACTCTGACTGTGTGTTTCCCAGGGAGAAGACTGAGATCAATAAGTCCTACGTCAATGAAGTCGTCCAGAACATAAAACGGGTGAGCGGAGGATAAAAACATTTATTTTATGGGGTTTTTCTACAGTCTGAAAGCTGTCTCTAGACGATCAGGAACACATAATGTTTACAACACAATAAAGTGTTGCAGGAATGAGTCCTAAAACCCAGAAATTGGTCAGCATTTTAGCACTTCCTGTTCCCTCATCTGGATGTCAATGGGTTTTTGAAAGTGTTAGAAGCCTAAAATAAGGTCTGTGGTTAACACAACCTGAAGAGATTTAAACGTTTTATTCTACGACATATCTGGTGAATTTAAAAACATGTAAGTGTCATAAACGTGTGTTGCCTATTTTCTGCAGTAACCAAACAGCCAATGGAAAAATCCCATTGCTTTCTGTGGAAGGAACCTGGGAGATGCCTTCAGGGTCCACTACAGAAATAGGAAATCACTGCACCACTCTATATAACGCTTCATAAAACTCTCTGCATGGTTTCTGTCTCCAGCTGGAGGAGACTCAGACGAAGCGCCACGATCAGCTGGTGGAGCAGCACACCGAGCTCCTGCAGGAGATACAGGACCTGAAACCAAAGGTAGAAAAAAGACACACAAAAACAAGAACAAAAAAAGTGCATTACAACTATACAAAAAGAAAAGTAATACATAAAACAATGCAGCATAGTTCAGCTGGTAGAGCTGCAGCCTATGGGTTTGAATCCTAAATACTAGATACCTACATCCTAAATATCTTCTTTGGTCACATTGTTCTGTTGTCTTAATTAAAAAACCTCTTATTGATATTTCTTTTCTTTTTTAACTATTTGCATGCATTTGATACGGAGCAGGCTACATTACTTTCATAACTTGAGACTCTGATAAGTTGCTGATTATATTTGTTTACAGGTAACTAGCGGAGGTGGGAAGTAGTGGAGTACTAATAGGCTACTTTGTTACTGTACTTAAGTACATGTTTCTGGTATCAGTACTTTACTCCACTACTTATTTTTACTTGTTACATTTTGAACACAAATACCTGTACTTTCTACTTCTTACATGTTGAACACAAATACCTGTACTTTCTACTTCTTACATGTTGAACACAAATACCTGTACTTTCTACTTCTTACATTTTGAACACAAATACCTGTACTTTCTACTTCTTACATTTTGAACACAAATACCTGTACTTTCTACTTCTTACATGTTGAACACAAATACCTGTACTTTCTACTTCTTACATGTTGAACACAAATACCTGTACTTTCTACTTCTTACATTTTGAACACAAATACCTGTACTTTCTACTTCTTACATTTTGAACACAAATACCTGTACTTTCTACTTCTTACATGTTGAACACAAATACCTGTACTTTCTACTTCTTACATGTTGAACCCAAATACCTGTACTTTCTACTTCTTACATGTTGAACACAAATACCTGTACTTTCTACTTCTTACATTTTGAACACAAATACCTGTACTTTCTACTTCTTACATGTTGAACACAAATACCTGTACTTTCTACTTCTTACATGTTGAACCCAAATACCTGTACTTTCTACTTCTTACATTTCCCAAACAGGCTGGTTCCTTTAGTTTGAATGTGTGTTTGGTGGCGTGATCATTATTATTTAGAGTCATTGCGTGCCTATTGATTTGAACACGATCCGTGTATCCATCATTTCCTGGTCTTCTCTAAAGAAGAGGGACCAATGAAAACGTTGTCATGTTGCCGTTGTTCAGCATGGAAACATTCATTAGCTAACAATGACATTATTGTTCTATTAATATAAAGGGAGGTCAGGTACTCTTTAAAACAGCTGCTAGTTATGGGTACTTTTTACTGAAGTACATTTCAAAGCCCTCTTTACTTTTACTTGAGTAAAGAAGTTTAGTCAGTACTTCTACTTTTACCAGAGTATTGTTAAACACGAGTATCTGTACTTCTACTTGAGTAAAGGATGTGTGTACTTTTGCCATCTCTGGTAACTGGTAATACATGTTTAAATTAACCTCCCACCCTCTTCATCACGTTGTGTGTCTGCAGCTGCAGGGCTCGGTGGAGGCTGAGTTCCAGGAGAAGTTTCAGTGTTTGCCCGGAGAGATCGAGGACTTCCTGCAGGACAGGAAGTCGGAGGTCCGGAGTCACAGCAAGTCCCGCCCCTCCACTCCTCACGAGGGTCTGTCGGAGGATGACTGAGGAGGGGAAGAAGTACAAAAGGATGGAAACACCAGGAAGTGAGAGGGGAAGACTGTAACTTTACTTTCTAATGGAAGAACGCTTTAGTGATTTATTTTCTACTTCCATTCGAGCATGCACTTTCAGCGTTTATCAGAACTTCTTTAGGTTTCTTTTGTTATTTTGATGGACAATCTTACAACCCAACTGTTTGGGCTGCATGACATCTATCTATCTATCTATCTATCTATCTATCTATCTATCTATCTATCTATCTATCTATCTATCTATCTATCTATCTATCTATCTATCTATCTATCTATCTATCTATCTATCTATCTATCTATCTATCTATCTATCTATCTATCTATCTATCTATCTATCTATCTATCTACCTAGAGAAGAGATTGAAACACACCCACCACTTCTTTCTTGTTTACTATTTTAAAACAATAACCTACAATATTAAATAAAGTAATTTGCTATCACACACACACACCACACACACACACACACACACACACACACACACACACACACACACACACAGACACAGACACAGACACAGACACAGACACAGACACAGACACAGACACACACACCACACACACACACACACACACACACACACACACTGGTTTATTGTGCATACTGTACACTTCTCATTGGAATATAGACACACAATTCAGTATTGGGTTCATGTTACATCAATGCATCTCATTTCATGTAATATTTCAAAAGACAATCAGCTTTGTTTTCTTCTGTATCTTAAATTAATTATTCATTTAGAAGCTGACGGTCATCTGTAGAAAAAGCCCATATGCAGAATACGTTGAAATTCATGTTTTCTAATGATTTTGAGTGAGAAATCATCTGAATGAGTTTAATCTGATTGCAGATAATAACGAAACAGGTTCAGTAAATATATCTGTATGTCACAAGATGTATGCTATAGACTGGAAACTTTATTGCATCATCAGATAGTTTGAGTATGTTTTTATTGATTTATGAGCATTTTGAGTAATGTATCTCCAAGTTAAGATATCATAGCATGACTGTTAGACAAAGACATGTATGGAGGTAATAATATTAACAGAGAGAATGAGGATTTTGGAGTAAATAGAACATTCTCGTTGATTTATTTGAAATAATAATCTGAGTTTTCTGAGCCGTAGCAGCATCAGATCAGGACTTACTGACAGCTGGAAGAGCCTCAAAGTCTGCTGCATGATTCTACTGTTATTTATTTATTGTTATCATCATCTCAATTAAGAATAGAGAACATGTACAATTTATAAAACTGTTGGAAGAAGAAGAAAACACCTTTTTTTTGGTCTCCTTTTTCTGTCAAATGGCAGAAATGTGTCTTTTGTTTGCAACTTATTTCAGAGTGCAAAGTCTTTTTGTAAAATAATGTAAAATGAATTTGGCTCGTCACATTTTGTACAGTGATCTTCCAGAAAACATTCTCCATGTTTTGTTGTCTTCTGGACTAAAGCTGCCGTGTTCAACATCCTTTCTGCAGGGGAACATTTATTCAGATTGAAACCACTGTTGATTGAGATAAACTGAACTTTATACTGACATTTTGAAGCCAATATTTTAGACTTTAATGTCAGTACTTCTGTATTCTCTTTAACACTTTAACCCTCCTGTTGTCTTCGGGTCAAATCTGACCGATTTACTACTTTCATCAGTCATAACTTTTTTGTTTTACATTAGAATGCATTAAGGCTTTATGATATCCTTCACAGTAGACATTTGAACATATTAAATTGCTGATCACCACTTTCATTGAATTTTGGATAATTTAGTCAACTTTGTAACACCCATGGTGTTCCCGTCATAAAGAAAAGGAATTAGTAACCATCCGGATCAGATAAAACACACACACAAACACACACACACACACACACACACACACACACACACACACACACACACACACACACACACACACACACACACACACACACACACACACACACACACACACACACACACACACACACACAAACACACTCTAGATGTGTCCCCCCCCCCCTTATGTGCCCATTCCCCCCATGTGAATCACACATGGCACACACAAACACACACAGAACAATTTGATACTTTTCCCGCTCTTATGTGCCCATCCCCCCACATGGATCACACCTGGCACACGCAATACATGTTCAGTGTCTATTCTTTGTATATTTACTGCAGTTGTTCATGTATACCAGTAGTCTGATACAATATTTACAGTTTGAAAGGGTGTTAAATGAAATGTAGTGATGATTAATGTTTTTTGTGTTAATGTAATAGCAGTTAAAACAGGACCGGTCAAATTTGACCGCGAACACCAAAGTAAGGGGGGAACGAAGACAATAGGAGGGTTAAATGATCTGGTATAGACATGTTAAAATCCGCCGAGTTCTCCATCAAAACACCTTGTTGAACGCAGCTCGCTTTAGTGATTAAACTGAGCATGCTTTATCGTCTTCTCCGAATTGTTTCTTGAATGATATTTTAAGAGTTGGAAATTAAAAATGTTTGAACTAAACATGAATTGTTCATAGTCCAATGTCTAAAAAAAGAGAGGAGAGAGGAGGTAATTACTGTTGTCAAACATCAAGAGGAAAACACTTTTGTTTCTGATCACGAAGACGATCGAGCCACGGGGGAGGAACGTGGAGGAGGTGACGAGCTGAGAGAGGCGTCTTTAGACTCATTTAATGGCTTTGTTCAATGTTTTTTTGTTTATTTTTTGCTTATTGTCCGGGCTTATCCACAACCGCTATTTTTTATTGTTTTAGTATTTTTCTTCTTCATTTCTTTGTTATATCTAGGGAGGCATGTTATTTGTTAATGTATGCACGTGGAGGAGGGCTTTCAACGCTAAGAGAGGGTCTTTTGTCATTATTATGGTTTTGTTTTTGTAGATAGGGCTGATCAATCAACTAATATTACATTATATATATTGTATTTTCTTTTTATTGTATATTTATTGGCCTTTTGAATTTTTTTTCAAGTAATCAAATCCTATCAAAGTTTTCCTTTTTGTAAAAACGAATGGAGCTCATCACAATTTCCCCATATTACAGAGTATTCTCACACAGCTGCTGTCCCATAATAATCCCAGCAGATGTCAGCAATGATCCGCAGATATTAAACTTGTCTTTATTGTAAAAACTGCGAATGATGTAAAAAACGTTTCCATGTAAGCTGAGACATTGAGTTTCCTGAAAGACAAACAAATATTTATAAGCGAATAAACCTGGACAAATATTTTCTTCATGACCAGATACCAGTAGAGGTAAGTGACATTGGACAAGACTGTGGCATTCCCAATAGCTTCCAACAGATGGCATATGTATTCATATAAACATTTTTGAAAGAAGAAGCAAACTCTTTACTTTTAATTTTGTTGTGCAAAAGGTAGAAATGTATATTTGGTTCGGGCAGCACCTCACCACTGCTATAGAGAAAAACACACTTTTATAATGTACAAAGAATCATATGTTAATATTGTTTACTTATAGATATTTGTATTATGGAGTACTCTGTGATTTAATATTGTGCATTCTTTAGATACTCCATAGATACCCTCAGTAGATACTAGATTTCCCCTCCAGTGAGATGGCATTTATATATATTGGTATTTTCATCATTGTTAAGGACAAAAGAAAATACTCAAATGTCAGATATAGGCCTTTGTTTTGGGTCAAGTCTATTTACGATTGTCACATTTTGCACCACACAGTTGCACTCCCCTTCTTCCCCAGCAGATGTCAGCAATGATCCCCGGATGTCCTTCCTCTCTCTCCGTAGAAAAAGAGCTGCAGCCCCTCAGCATCAGCACCCCAGCAGACACTCATCTCCTCCTCCTCCTCCTCCTCTTCCTCCTCCACAGCTCTGCTCCTCTGCTCCTCTTCTCCACTGCGGAACATCGGCCTGATCTCTTCCAGCTTCTCCTCCAGAGGCAGACCCAGACATGGATAACTCCGGAAAAGAGAAGGAGGCCATGCAGCTGATAGCTGAGGCCGACAAGAAGGTCAAAGCGTCCGGATCCTTCCTCGGGGGGATGTTCGGGTAATCTTGTCTCTGTTTACCTCCCTCTGTCATTTTGGATTCGTGCACACAGGGCCTCTCAAAGCCTGTCAAATGCTGCTGCTTATCCCAAAATCTCGGGGGCTTTAATAATATAATATCCTTATAATAATAGTGATGCGTCTCTGCAGAGGCCAGATGTAACCCTGCATTGTTCTTATTCATTTATATAATTTAGTCTGAGCATGATTTATCTTCCTCTGTGTGACATTGCAAGATTTTGCTGTCATGGTTCGTCAGCTGTATCCCCAAAAAGATATGAGCTGTCCTCGCGGGTAATGTGGCTCGCGCTTCGTGGAGAATGTAAATGTGACACATCGATGATGTAGCGCGGGGAGCGTCGAGCGTGAGGCCGGGGAAGAGGTGCGGGGAGGCGGGGAGAGCAGCGCAGAGGCCGGTGTGCGGGGAACCATCGGAGGGGGTGCGGGGGATGAGTGTGTGTGTGTGTGTGTGTGTGTGTGTGTGTGTGTGTGTGTGTGTGTGTGTGTGTGTGTGTGTGTGTGTGTGTGTGTGTGTGTGTGTGTGTGTGTGTGTGTGTGTGTGTGTGTGAGCGGATGGGGGGCCTTCATGTGTGGGAGGGGCGTATGTTTACATGTTAAATGGAAACACTGTTATATAAATGTGATGATATGATATGTATTTGTTGATTGATTGGTTGATTGATTGGTTGATTGATAAATGTATTGATTGGTCCTTTCCAAGAGGGATAACGGCTGCATTATTGATTTGAGGAAGCTGTAGGATCTATATATCCTACCTCATAATGATGTTGAGTAGTACAATTTTATATTTTCTACATGTATGTTCACGTCAAAATAGATATAACGATATAACAATTAACAGAAAATGAATTTACAACAATTTTTTCAATCAATAAAACATCTAAGTCTTTCATAAAACCAACGTAATGACATGTGAAGATGTCACATTGGGACATGTTTTACTTTTATTGGACTGTATCAAAGCAAACCGTTAGTAAAGAAAATAACCGACAGATTGATCAATTGTTAGCTTTAGCCATCATTTATTTTATTCATCCATAAAATCAGGGTGACTACGGTGTTATAGACCAACTCAAATATCAGAAATCTAAATAACTAAATTACAATTTTATAGAATATAGATTACTGATATATATCGATTTGTTCTGACGTCACAGTCGGCCTCAATTTCGATCCGATTCAAATGGAGATGAATGGTGGCACATGAAAGATGTATCGATAATTTCACTCTGCATGATGTCATAACATCCTTAATCATAGAATCAATGCACATTGATGTATACTTACACCCTTATTAATAACCACAAGAAAACAACTAAAACCTCAGGCATCAAAACAGCTTTAACACAATGAAGTATTGTTAGTTTTAAATGTAATAAGCTGTCTGTTTATAGCCAGTATCCTCAACAACAGAAATGGGTCCCATCTGTTTTCACAACATGCGTGGACGATGTTTCTAATGAGCCTCAGTCCTGACGATAGGAAGCAGACTTGGATGTATTGGTTTTGACAGGTTGTGAAGGTCATATGTAGAAAAAAAGCCAACCTAACCCTAACCCTGAAAATGAACAAGAGAGGGCCCCTTTAAAAAAACATAATGGAAGACTTCAGCCTCCTTCAATCTACTTCTGCACAGAGAGACATTAACTTCATTGATTCAATAATGGTGTGTGTGTGTGTTTGTGTGTGTGTGTGTGTGTGTGTGTGTGTGTGTGTGTGTGTGTGTGTGTGTGTGTGTACGTCACATTTAACATAACTCTATTATGGCAAACGCACATTAATCGCTTTCAAACGTGTAACCTGGTTCTGTTTCTAGTTGTGCTCCATTTGTTTGTTCCTCGTCAAAGACTTGCATAGCTCTAGGTTCATACTATATCACATGATCAAATATACATGAGGCAAGAATCAGATAAAGGATGAATGCTTCATAGGAGGAACAGATTTCTCTCAGCTGCAGGGTGAACGTTTCCTCTGCTGACCTCTGCAGTGATGTCACCCAAGTTAAATAACAACGTCATAGTTATGCCTCATAAACAGTGTTACAAATGCTGCTATATATCTGAGTTTGCAACAATACATTTAACAGTCAAACAAATGTATTAAATAAATGGTTGATTTTCTTTGACTCTGTGGTCTGTGTGTGTGTGTGTGTGTGTGTGTGTGTGTGTGTGTGTGTGTGTGTGTGTGTGTGTGTGTGTGTGTGTGTGTGTGTGTGTGTGTGTGTGTGTGTGTGTGTGTGTGTGTGTGTGTGTTATAGGGGGAACCATAAAGTGGAGGATGCCTGTGAAATCTACGCCAGAGCAGCCAACATGTTTAAGATGGCAAAGAACTGGAGTGGTAGGTGACACACACACACACACACACACACACACACACACATATTAACCTCACTTATTCCCACTGCGCTCTGAAAGAATAAACAGATACATCTCTGCTAAAATAAGCAAACACCTACACGTTTATCCAACAGGATATAATGATTCAGTTGTAATACCACATACAGAAATATGATAATTAAACACACACAAACAAACACACACACACCGTGGATTATTTTATGGAAATTTAGGACAGTATGGTGATAAGATATGACGTTTCATGGCTGCAGGAATGAGTGTTTGCGCCAGATAGGGCAGATGTGCCAATAATAGCTCACGCTGTGCAGAATTTAGAGGCTTAGATGTGTGTTTTGATGATGTGTGTGTGTGTGTGTGTGTGTGTGTGTGTGTGTGTGTGTGTGTGTGTGTGTGTGTGTGTGTGTGTGTGTGTGTGTGTGTGTGTGTGTGTGTGTGTGTGTGTGTGTGTGTGTGTGTGTGTGTGTAGCCGCAGGGAATGCGTTCTGTCAGGCCGCTCGGCTCCACATGCAGCTGCAGAACAAACTGGACTCGGCCACCAGCTTTGTCGACGCCGGCAACGCCTTCAAGAAGGCCGACCCACAGGGTGAGCAAACACACACACACACACACACACACACACACACACACACAAATCTCAGGTATATCTCATCTGTTTATATTTCATTATCTCCAAATTTAAGTTTACTTTTACTTTTGCTATTTTTATTTACCTTTTGATACTTGTATTTTTCTCCTTTCTACTTAAAAACATTTGAAAACAGGACTTTTTTTCATTTTTTCTGCTACTATGTATCATCTTATCAATTTAACGTCAGCTGCACATAGTCCCTTGATCCTCCTTGGCAACGGTCTGTTCTCTTTAGCAACGGTCTGTTATCGAAAATTAGCAGACCTATGGAATGTCCAGATTGACCAATGAGAATGGAGTATTCAATTTAACCGTGTCACAGATTAGAAGATAATTTGTACACTGTGGTATTAGACCTTTTACTTCAGTATTTGAGTAGTTTTTCCACTACTGGTGTGAATTTACCTCTCTTCATATTTTAATGTAAGACTCGAGGGGAAGCCTGTGGATCAGAGTCAGGACCCTGAGGAGGTTTCATTCAAAGATTAAACTCGGTTTGCTCGAGGAAAAATGATATCATGCTGCTGCAGCCTCACTGTGATTTAATGAAATACTACGGGTTAGCAGGTGATAGCCGCCGGGGAGGAAACTCTTCAGTTCTTCTTGGATTTACAACATAACATTACATTTAGCTGATGCTTTTATCCAATGTGTTACAATTGACCATGAAGACACAAACTGAGAACAGCAAATAAATAAATATGATCTTTTGAAAGTATTTTAACCTCCTTTCTCTCTTATCTGTCTTCTTCCAGAGGCCATCAACTGTCTAAACCAGGCCATTGACATCTACACCGATATGGTAAGCCTTCAACCAAGGAGGGGTGCAGGAATGAGTCCTTAACTGGGTAATGAGTCAGCATTTTAGCACTTCCTGTTCCCTCGTCTTGAAGTCAATAGTTATTTTAATGTGTTTTTGGTTGGAGGACTGAAAAAGGTCTGTGGTTAACACAAGCCCAAGAGATTTTAACGTTTTGTTCTACCACATAAAATACGTCAGGAACCCTGAACATTAGCCACCTTTAGCTTAGCGCTATTGACGTGAAACCATGTGATTGTACTGTATTTCATTTATAACGTTAACTTTATACTTCAAAAATCATAAACTGGTGTTAATATGTGAAGATTATCCTTCTGAACAAAACTTGTAAGTATCATAAACATTGGTTTGCCAGATTGTTTATTTTCTCCAATAATCCAAATGGAAAAACCCCATTGGCTTTCTGTGTAGGGAACCAGGGAGATGCTACCTTCAGGGTCCACTTCAGAAACAGGAAATCCCTGCTCCATTCTATTAAAGGCTTCTTATGAATATTGAATAATACCTCTTATCTTTGTCTCATGCTACAGGGTCGGTTTACCATCGCAGCAAAACATCACATCACTATAGCCGAGATTTACGAGGCCGAGCTGGTCGATATCGAGAAGGTACGTGAAGGGGAAAATCATTATTTTCTGTTTTCTGTACTCAATTTTTAACCTTTTTTTTATATGTTTTTGTTGAATTGAAGTCATCATCTTCTGTTTTATATGTGTCTTTCAGGCCATTGCCCACTATGAGCAGGCAGCAGACTACTACAAGGGAGAGGAATCTAACAGGTACATTATTTCATAAAACTTACAAATGCATTAAAAAGAGCTAAATAGATTTCAGTCAGACAACTCACGTGTTTCCTAATATGTTTATTAGAAGCAGCATATAGTTTGAGTTTGGCCTCTAGGCTCGGAGTGATGGTTAGATAACTATCCCCGAGCCTACAGGTGGAAGCTGTGGTGAAAGCTGTGGTGAAAGCTGTGGTGAAAGTTGGGGTGGAAGCTGGGGTGGAAGCTGTGGTGAAAGCTGTGGTGAAAGCTGGGGTGGAAGCTGGTGTGGAAGCTGGGGTGGAAGCTGGTGTGGAAGCTGGGGTGGAAGCTGGGGTGGAAGCTGGGGTGGAAGCTGGGGTGGAAGCTGGGGTGGAAGCTGGGGTGGAAGCTGGGGGGGGAAGCTGGGGTGGAAGCTGGTGTGGAAGCTGGGGTGGAAGCTGGTGTGGAAGCTGGTGTGGAAGCTGGGGTGGAAGCTGGGGTGGAAGCTGGGGTGGAAGCTGGGGTGGAAGCTGGTGTGGAAGCTGGTGTGGAAGCTGGGGTGGAAGCTGGTGTGGAAGCTGGTGTGGAAGCTGGGGTGGAAGCTGGGGTGGAAGCTGGGGTGGAAGCTGGGGTGGAAGCTGGGGTGGAAGCTGGTGTGGAAGCTGGGGTGAAAGCTGGGGTGGAAGCTGGTGTGGAAGCTGGTGTGGAAGCTGGGGTGGAAGCTGGGGTGGAAGCTGGGATGGAAGCTGGGATGGTGGGGGGGGCAGGCGAGCAGCAACAACATGAAACACAGCAGCAGGAACATGAACGTAGCAATAGCAAGTGAACACAGCAGCAGCAGCATAGCGAGGCAGAGGCAGGAAGACCTGGCAGCTTAAATAGAGCGGCATGTTTAGGAGAATGTGTTTGGTTGGTTGTAAGAGGGACGAGGTGCGTCACGTGTTAATGTATGATTGGTGCTCGAGTTGACTGCCTGAACTAGCTCGCAGGCATCGCCCCATTAGTTGAAATATACAATTTGGCAGCAGAGCATTGATATGCAACTAATTAAAGAATTGAGTGATTGTTAAAGTCCCCTTTTAAGCAATATATGACAAAATAATAAAAAATACAATTGAAAAAATTGAAAAATGCATCAAAAAGGGTTATTTTTATATTGAAAGGAGCTGCATAGTGCTAGAAAAAAAGTTAATGTAATGTGCAAGATGTATTTATAACGAAGTATAATCGTTGTTATGAAAATGCATGATGGTGCATGAATATAAGTATATTATATTCTAATCAGATATAGTGTTGCAGTAAAGTTTGATGCTGACGGTGCACTGGAAGAAGACTCATTAACATTTTGCTGAATAATTGCTGAGTAATGCTGACTCATGCTCCCTTGTTGCAACAAGCCTGATGACCTTTTGCATCATCCATTATCTAAATTAGACTTCTTTGAAAGCTCAGCTCGGGAAATACTAAGATGTAATAGTGATACACGGAATACATGATGGCTTTTCTTTGTCTGTGTGTTTCCAGCTCAGCCAACAAATGTCTCCTGAAGGTCGGACACTACAGCGCTCAGCTGGAACAGTACCCCAAAGCTATCGAAATATACGAACAGGTCATTCATTATTTATTGTTAGAAAAATATCACTCGTCACCGGCTTGAGCTTCAATAATCAGGATACATGTATTTTTTATCCTTGCAAGAATGGAAGTAATCATCACATACAGAGCATTTGGTACTGAAGTATGATATCTGAGTACTTCTTCTTCCACCTCTTGTTCCAGGTTGCTATGAACACCATGGACAATCCTCTGTTAAAGTATAACGCCAAAGAGTATTTCTTCAAGGCTTCACTGTGTCATTTCATCGTGGACGAACTGAATGCCAAGGTAACACACACACACACACACACAGAAAGAAAACACCACTTACACATATACGTCCTGAGATACAGATGTCTGGTGACAGTTATGTACTATTTTAACCTTTCAATCTCTCCTTCAATGTGTGTGTGTGTGTGTGTGTGTGTGTGTGTGTGTGTGTGTGTGTGTGTGTGTGTGTGTGTGTGTGTGTGTGTGTGTTGCAGTTGGCCATAGAGAAGTATGAGGAGATGTTTCCAGCCTACTCAGACTCCAGAGAGCTGAAACTCTTAAAGGTAAATGTATTGCATATATAAATACACTTTTTTATACCATATGAGCGCTCCTACGTCACAGCATTTGAAAGTCATATCGCTGATTTGCAGAAACATGGCCGAGTAAACGAGGATTTAAAACTAAAAACATTTCATTATGCTCACACACTGTCACTCAATGTTAATATCTTGTGTGGCTACAGTTAATGGTAGTTCATTTTTATAAAAATTATGTTTTTTTGTTGTTCTCTGCTGGGTTAACTTCTCACCTTGCTGCAGCGATGTACAGGAAATGACTTTAATCAAGGTTTTTTTTTAACGTGTTGTTGGTTAGAAGCATGAAATAAGGTCTGTGGTTAACACAAGCTGAAGAGATTCTCACTTTGATCTCTATAACATAAAATATGTCACTAAATACCTCACTGGTGAATTTACAAACGGCGGTTGCTAACCAGTGTCTACATGAGACGACTAAATGTCACCACACCCCACATTAGCCGCCTTTAGCTGAGCGGTGATGATGCACAGCCATGCTACCATGATGTAGTTCCTTTATAGCCTAACGTTAGCATTTACTTGTACCAATTGCATTTACACTTCAAAAATCACAAAGTGGTGTTAATAAGTGGAGATTATCCTGCTGAACAAAACATATAAGTATCATAAATGTGTGTTTGCCACAGAGATCCAAAATCCTAGGGAGAAATCCTAGTGGCTTTTTGTGCAGGGAACCCTTTAATAATAATGCATTTTATTTATAGAGCGCTTTCCTTGAAACTCAAGGACACTTTACAGAGTAGAAATTCATAAAAACAACACATTTAAAATATATAAAACACAACATTAATTACAGATTAAAGCAGTTCTGAAGAGGTGAGTTTTGATTTGTGATTTTGAACATGGTGAGATCGGGGCAGTTAACTCCTAGGTCAAAATGTCTGTCATCGCTGTGCCTCTCTATTAAAGGTCCCATACTGTTTTTCATCAATATATCACAGGTCTCAGATATATCCAGAGCCTGTCTCTGATTGGCTGAAACACCAAACAGATCATTGCAGCATCCCATAATCCCCTCTGTTTCAGCCCTGTTTCCAAAGTGCTGATTCTCTGTCTGTTACTTTAGATGAAAATAAGGAGCCCCTCCCCACGCCCCTCTGAGAGAGATTTGGTTAAAAAGAACACAATGGTGCTCTAGGAGGAGATTCAGGTGATAAGGGGGGGGGGCTAATGGTTACACAAGCCAACAAATCGTTATGACATCATAAAGTGGCCAAAATCTGATCAGCTCATTTTCAGACAGGTTTTTATAGAAATGGATCAGGACAAAAAGAGAGAGAATCTTTTTTCCTGAAACTTTCAGAATCTCTTTACACAGAGGGGACACATGTTGATGTAGAAGAGACATGAAGAAGTGGATTTTGCACAATAGGTGACCTTTAAAGTCTTGTGTGTTTCCTGCCACAGAAACTCCTAGACGCCCACGAGGAGCAGAACAGCGAGGCGTTCACGGAGGCGGTGAAGGAGTACGACTCAGTGTCACGTCTGGACCAATGGCTGACCACGATGCTGCTGCGCATCAAAAAGACCATCCAGGGAGACGCCGGGGACCTGAAATAGAGAAGAAATCATTTAAAATATAAAGGGGGCAGACAAGGGTAGAGGGGGTGGTAAAGGGGGGAGGATGAAGGGAGTGTTTTTGGTGGAAGAAAGGTTTAAAAAAAACACAGAAAGATGAATGGGGAGGGAGGGGGAGACTGAGGGAGTTTACAGTTGTACATATCAGTCTGCATGTGACCCCCCAATAGCTAAGCATCACCTTTGAACCCCCCCTGTGTCCCTGCTCCTTCAGTATTGCTCCACAGGTGTGTGTGAGAGAGTGTGTGAGAGTGTGTGTGAATTATAACACTATTTGATGGGATGGCGTGCAGCTCATATCACATATAAGAAAATATATGTTATTAAAACGGATGTTATTTATGAGATATTTATTGTCGATACTGAAATCATTGTTTATTAAGGTACTCAGTGTGTCGATCTGTCTGAATATTTTAGGTAATAGCCCCTCTCCTCCCTCCTCTCACTCCCCTCTCCTTTACCTGTCGTTCCTCTGTCACCCGCTGTCTTTTCCTCAACCCCTGAGTCAGTGATATCGCCTCGTTGTGATTGGTTGGTTCTTTGTGTTCGCCCCGCCCCCCTCCACGTCACTGCCTCGTTTGTGCATGTCTGTTGTCATGTTGATGTAAGTGTTCTCCGTGTCGTGCTAACGTGTGAACAACATACATGTAGCCTGGTATCATTTGTGTGCAATCAGTAAATATGTACCTACGAGTTGAAATAAAAACATCATCGCTCCAGATATATCCGGCTGCTTTCTGGTTTATTTTTCGGGCATTTGGTATAATTATATGTGGGTTGTTCAGTGGTGTAAAGTAACTAAGTACATTTACTCAAGTACTGTACTTAAGTATACGTTTGAGGTACTTGTACTTGAGTATTTCAATGATTTGCTGCTTTGTACTTCTACTCCACTTCAGTTCAGACGTAAATCGTGTACTTTTACTCCACTACATTTATTTAATACTTTTTGTTACTAGGCAGATTTCTTTTAATAATGTGAAATATAATCAAGTGTTAAATCAGACTTTAGTTCCACCTGGAGTAAATGCACAAGCTACCCTGCAGTATACAAAGTCATTACAACTAGCTGCAACTTTACCATCATATATATTATTCTGAAATGGACCAATCTGCACAATGAGTGTTACTTTAAGTATATTTTGATGCTAATACTTTTGTACTTATACTTCAGTAACATTTTGAATGCAGGACTTTTACTTGTAACAGAGTATTCCTACACTAGGTAGGAGGTACTTATATTTTTACTCAAGTACAAGATCTGAGTACTTCCCCCACCTGGCTGTTACTCAAATATCTTCTTTTTTTATACAAAAATATACTGACGAAAAGGAAGCAACAAGCAACTTTTCTTTACAGTTATTTTCTTTTCTTAATTGAAGCTTTGGGGACCCGCTAGATTAGGAAATACACACAGAACAACACAACCACATTTTTTATATTTCATTAAACATGGATTTTGTTTTCTAAAATCTAAGAAACTGTATGTAATTTTTTTAATAATATCTAAAAATATTTTTACATTTCACACACAAATCTTTTTTTTACCTCATCTGTCCTCACGAGGAACAAAAGACAAAACTACTTTCTGTTACACATCATTTTTTTCTTGTGCACACCTGCTCCTTGGAGGTGATTGTTGTCACACCAGCCTACGAAGTTCTCCACGGGGTCCCTGTACTCCTCCTCGTTGTCATCTGTGATGCAGCTGACGATGGAGGAGTCATCGGAGAACTTCTGTAGGTGGCATGAGCTGGACTTGTATATATTTATTTCATATTTGACTGCCAACACACTGCTCTTCGAGGCTCTGAGGGCTGACATGATTTAATCCTGTTTAAGATTCAAGGCTTTTAATGTAACATATTATATATATTATATCATATTATGACATCTTAGGTCACAGGCTCCTCCAACAGTGCAACACAATAAAACAGATAAGATAGTGCAAGTAAATACACATAAAATAGAATAGAAATAGTGCAAGGAGAGTCTATATACAAGTAATTGGAATATGATATATTAGATAAATAATTTGTAAGTTGCAACTGGATGAATGTTATGGATGTTCTTTCAAAAGTTCAGGTGTTTAAGAGGCTTCGTTTTCCTAATCACGCTCTCTGTTGTGACACGGACACATCAGTCTCCTGAGAGTCTCTCTGTTCCTCCACACAGCGAACACCCCGGCCCCCAGCAGGGAGGAAGCCAGTGCTTTGATCACAGCGCCCAACACTTCGATCCGGAGTCCAGAGTCTGCATGGAGGAACAGAATCATGCCGGCTTCACTATCTTCCTCACTTACTGCGTTATTCATCCTGCAGGTGAAGTTCTCCACGTGTCCATGCTCTTCCTCGGTGACGGTCATGACTACCCAGTCTCACACAAAAACATGTAATAGCTACGTTGGTCGACCGGGCAAAACGTAGTATATTCACAAATAACCCTCTCAAGACGTAACATTGATACAATAGGTGCTTTCACACCAAGTACTTTCCCCAGGAATAGTTCCCGGAACTTAGTTCCCCGGAACTCTTTAATTCCTGAACTATCTAGTAGATCACGTTCACACCGGAATAAGTCCCTGAGGGAGGATTACGCAAATGAAGCCGCTGACGTCACTTCTTCTTCTGCTTTGGGTTTACTGGCAGGTCGCAAACATCTTCACTGTGTATACTGCCACCCGAAGTCCCGGAGCCCCCCGGCCAGAATCGCCAGAAGCGCCGACACCTCCTCATCTCCACCGCTCCCATGTTTTCTTTTGTGTTGCCATAACTTAGTCTCTCTCCGTTGGTGCGCTGGGCTAATGCTAATGCTAATAATGCTAATGCGAGCAAATAAAATGGCGGCTTCACAAAACCTTTCGGAGTTTTACGGGGAGTGGTTTGCAATTCGCCCAGCCAATCAGAAATTGGAATCTTTTCCTCCCCAGGAAAGTACCATCTGTTAAGGAATAATTCTTCTAGATATCTAACCTTTTACTCTGACATATGTTATCTCCTCTAAGGAAAGGCCTTGGTGCCATATGTGTTGTTGTCACCAGTGTGAGACCGGTCAACTTGACTGGCACGTAGGGTAATTGTTGTGAGAACACTGAAGCATTTCTTTATCGGTGTTTGTGGGCTCTCGGATGTGAAATCCTTGAGGCCATGAGCGTTGGACGCAGATGATTCAGTGTTTAGTCTACTCCTTCAGAGATGTTGATTCTCTGTGAACCTGTTAAAAGGTCTAGCATAGAGAGAGGTTCTTCAGAATTGACGTGGCAACTCTACCGTGTGGTCAGAACCTCTGACTCTTTGATTTGTGATGTGAATCCTCCGGCCGAATACTCTGAATAAACCCATCAGTGTTTGACATCAAAGCTCCAACTCTCACCGTGTCTCCTTCCTGAGTCGGTGACTCCATGCATTACTACACAGAAGTTTCCTCCACAAATTGGCGTTGTCGGCAGGATACCAACAGATCTTCAGAGACTGGTAAGTGTGATTTCAAATCTACATTTGGACATTGCCTTACCAGAATCTGTGATTGACGGTATCCTAAAATTATCTGTGAAGCTAAGCGGCTGCGTTTCGTTTTGGTTAATGAACATTTGGGGCTAGTAACCCCAGGGGATCATCCAGGGACTCTGTCTTGGCTGGTTCCCTCTGTGTGTGATGCTCGGACGTATGTGCCGTGCAGGCATACACGGAGATGTTTAAAAAAAACCTTAATGAGGGCAGCAGTAAAGTGGAACTTCTGTGTGAAATCAAAATAGAGATTTGTAATGAACAAATCGCCGAGATTCCGGGGGTTTCAGCGGCCAACACTAGCAGTTAACTAAAGCAGCCAGAGATATTACCCCCAGCGCCTCTAAAAAAAACACGGCTCCAGCTGCTGCGGCTCCGGGGAATGTGTGTCAAATACCTCCCCGTATCTGCATGAGCTGGTGAAATGAACTCAGAGGGAGAAAATCACAGCTTTTGTCTATAACTTTAACTCACACCACCGCCGTCTCTATTAAAAACGAGACGGTTTAAAAGCACTCTCGTGGCTTGTGGCCATTTACGACGTGCTGGCAGGTGCGAGGTGCGTGCATTACCTGATGCGACAGGCTCCCTACATTGCTGAGGAGCTGATGTCGGTCCGGGGTGCATACATAAAATTATAGGCTAATTGATCATGGGTGGGCAGTGGTATGCAAGTGTAGAGCAAAACTGTGTTTCATCATTGGGATGAGCATGATGGGAGGTGTGTAGGCTGGTCGAGTAGGACTACAGTTAACTGTGTGGTTTCGGATAGAAAGGGTAGAGGAAAAAAGTCTATGTGCTCCAGATCGGGGGGGCATAGCACCACTAGAGCAGGGATAGTGGAGTCGCAAGAGGATAAGCTAGTTATTGCTCTTGGACGGTCTTCAGGCACCGATCTAAGGACTTGTATACAAGGGTGGAGGTACGAGTCAAGGTACCCCACTGGGTTCCCATTGGGAGAGATCAAATAGTCCCTACCCCCTCTGAAACCTCTTTAATCCGGACTAAATTGAGCTGGATGAACTTTGCTGTTGCATTGTTGTTTATTATGAGTTCATCATGTTTGTTTGTCTGATTGTTTGTATCAGGGGTCTATATTGGTTTGTCTAACCGCCGTCTTGTGCATGTTTTGTAACAACTAATAATGAATCAGTCCATAGCCAGGGTAAAATAAACTAAGCTTTAGTTAACTCACCAAAAGTAAATGACTTGAGAAAGATAAATAATATATAGTGTTTTGCAAAATTCTGGTAGTATAGATGTGCTGCAAAATGAAAATAAATAGCAAAAGAGTGTTTTATGTCCTGCATCTGAGTGTGCAGAGGAAACGTAAACAAGAAGCACACTGTTCAGGGTGTGCGCTGCATCTGAGTGTGCAGAGGAAATGTAAACAAGGAGCACACTGTTCAGGGTGTGCGCTGTAGGTGTAAGAAGAAGAGAAGAATATATTACTTTAAGAATACATTCTTAAATTGTATTGCTGGTATGTTAAGATATGTTTGTGACCTTTTATAAACCCTATGCCCCGTCCTGCACCCTGAGACCCTCAGAGGCATCACTGCTGGTCGTAAAAAACCCTGCCTGAGGAGGTCAGGGTGGCAAAATCTGTCTGCTGTTTTAGGTCAATGTTGTATTATTTGTTTCATTTATTCTTAAATCTATGTATTGTATGGTAATAATGAAAAAAACGTAATGTATTGAACACATTCCGAAACAAAGCTGATAAGACAGAACTAGACTCAGACATAATACAAATTATTGTTGAAACCTTTTGCGCTGTTGCTGCAAAATGGAAACTTTGTTGATTATCTGTTCCAACTGGCCACTGGATTCAGATAATTAATATAAGTTGAAGTTTAATTACAGTTTTAAATATAGTTTAACATTCTTTATTAAACTGCTTCAAATGATTTCTCGTATCAACCAATTGGTCTCCAGAGACATTACTAAAATTCTAATAGTTGTTAAACTACTGACAAGTTTTCTGAAACCGAGCTTATAAACAAAAGAGTAAAGGTCGCTGGTTAAGCCAGGATCTATATATTTGTTGACGTTTTCATTACAGTGTGCATAATAAATGTGTTAAATGAATTGAGCAATTATTTAAAAAGTATAATGTTGCAATCTCTTTACAATAAGTAATTACAGTTAAACAAAATAGATGTTGTTTTCCAAGGGCCTCTCCTTCACAGCCCTACACTTTAAATCATGAGACTTTC